TGCCCCAAGACCAGCAACATTCCTGCTGGCGGCATGGGGGTCCATGTGGGTCCCAGAGCGAGGCTGGTGGGGAGCAGAGCTGTAGGCAGCCTGTGACCGGCAGGCAGCATGGGAGACACAACCCTTTCTTGTTGCAAGACAGAGAGATGAGGGCTGCTTGTTACTGCAGCACAACCCGGCCCATCCTGACTTTGTGGACTCCAAGACCCATGGCTCTGAGAGCGTGGGTGAGCATTGACACCTGTACGAACCTCTTCTTGTGGGTCAGAGGGGCATGGTAACACGGGCTCTGCGGGGTGGTTCAACCCTTCACTCACCGCAGACACTGAGTGGCCGCTGGGGTCAGCACTGGGCCAGTCACAGCAGTACAGTGGGAGCAGCAATGACACAGATCCCCACAACTCAGACAAATCAGACAAAAGGAAATGGGCAAGTAAATAGTTATAAATGGTGGTGATTACCCTGTGGGTGGGGAATACTGGGCAGGGGGTTCAGGAATCTGGAGAAGGGGCTGCGAGTAAATTGATGAAGAGACCAGACAGGAAATATAAACAGGGAAGGCATTTTGTGGGGGAGCCAGGGAAGGCTTAGCTTTAGTAACTAAGTTCTCTGACTCTCCGGGCCCAAGGATTTTTATTCCCACATTTTTCCCTATAGCAAAGCAGATAAACATAGCAAAGGTAAGGTTTGGCATTATCAGGTTGGGGGAACTGCCTACAGCTGTTCAGCAGCAGGTAATAACAGGCAGATCTTCAGCCCAGCAGAAGCCCCAAGCCTCATCAACGTTTTGATGAACTTTCTGCATTTAAGTCCGCTGGGATTGGCCTCCCGCAGGCGGATAATGGGCCCCTCCCCCGAGATGTCCGTGTCCCAGTGCTCCGTTACAAGGCGGAAGGGAATTGAAGATTGGATGCAGGTCAGCTGACCTTGACGTGGGGGAGCATCCTGGGTAATTGGCCTCGGCCCTGGAATCACAAGGTCCTTCAGGTGGAAGAGGGAGGCGGGAGGGAGAACAGAGGCGGGCACGAGAAGGAAGGACTCAGGGGTATCATCGGCTTTGAAGATGGAGGAAGGAGCTTCGAGGCAAGGGTTGCAGGCGTCTCTAGAAGCAGGAAAAGACCAGGAAACAGCGCCGTCACACACACACACACACACACACACACACACACACACACACACTCCCCAGAGCCTCCAGGAAGGAGCGCAATCCGGGAGACCGCGAGTGTCGCCCTTGTTCTACCCTACAGAATTGGCAGGTGATACGTGTGCATGGTTTTAAGCCATGAAGTTTGTGGCAATGTGTCACTGCAGCCACACGGAGCTGATAAAATTGCTAAGAGGGAGAAAAGAAAGGGCTTCCCCGGGAAATCACGGGGCCAGGGCAGGGTGCCAACGCTAGAGCGTGTGGTCAAGGAAGACCGCTGAAGACTTGGGATCTAAGCAGGGCCCTAAAGCGGAGGCGCAGGAGGCGTTTGGGACATGCAGGGGGTGAGTTTGGCATCGTGCTTAATACACAGGAAGCAGCAGCATGTAGTAACCGTGATAATAACATACATGTACAGTTTTAAGGAAAATGCTGGCCTGGCCGGCGTGGCTTAATGGTTGAGCATCGGCCTATGAACCAGGAGATCACAGTTGGATTCCTGGCCGGGGCACATTCCCAGGTTGTGGGCTCAAATCCCCGTGTGGGGCGTGCAGGAGGCAGCCGATCAATGAGTCTTTCTCATCATTGCTGTTTCTAGCTCTCTTTCCTTATCCCTCTCTTTCTCCCTCTCCTTCTCCCTCTCCCTTCCTCTCTAAAATCAATAAAAATATTATTTAAAAAAAAGAAAAGAAAGGAAAAGTGCTGGCACTGAGAGATAAGGCCGTGCACTTCCCTGCCTCTGGGCCTCTCCTCCTGCCTGCACACCTTTCTCTATTTCCTGGGTCAGGTGACACTGAAATTCCAACGGAGGGCTCTAATGGTATTCACCACCCCACCCCCCCAGCAAAGGTAATGACCATGAGAATGTCCCCCAAGGAACTCCTAGTGCAACCCACCTGCCCTCTCCTCCCCTCCCCTGCCCTCCCCTCCCCTCCCCTCCCCTCTCCTCTTCTCTCCTCTCCCCTTTCCTCTTCTCTCCTCTCCTCTCCTCTCAGGATGGAAGTGGTGCTATAGGAAGTGGGGGATTGGGGGTGAGAGGCTCTGAGTGACCAGCAGCAGCCGCAGTGCAGGAGGACAGAATTCTAGGGAAATGGGAGGAAGAGAAACTTTTCCAGTCTATTTATAAACATCCTCACCCCCAACCCAGCTTTAAAGCATTCTGGGGGCTAGCACATACCAAGTTATTTTATTTTATCATTATTGTTATTAACTAGGAAGCGTGGTGGGAACTTGCGTTACTAATTCTGTTCATTGTCCTAGGAAAAAAAACAAACACACACACCAAGGTTTCCGGGCTGTGCCTTCCACCCCCTTACGTCCTCCGTGCGTTCCTTTCCGCTTGGCGACCGAGCCTTTGATCAGCTTAGGGAGGGGCCTGTCCTGCGGGGCTGTTCCTCTTGTCCCTTCGGCTTTTCCAGGAGCAGCGGCCCAGAGCCGGTGGTTGACCAGCCCAGCCAAGGCCAAGGGGACTTGGTGACATGGCCTCAAATCACCCCGACTCCGGGACACGCTGTTCCCACTCCCTGAGCACCCACAGAGCCATGCTCAAGGTAGCCGAAGGGCTAGGACTCAAGAAGTGTAGTCCTTCAGAAGGTTTTCATCTCGAATCTTTTGTTCTTAGAACTCTCAGGTGTTAAAAGCGGCCAGCAGGGAGGCGGGTCCCAGGGACCTGCTGGGGGAGGATGGCCGGCTCCGCCCTCCTCCACTCCACCGAATGGTTTGTGTTGGTTGGAGCCGCGATGTAGACTGTTAGCCAAAGGCCACCAGGCACTCACAGCACCCCGGAAATAGCCGGGGGCCCCCACCGAAAGGCGTGCGTCTGGTCTGTTAACTACCACACCGTGCCAGCCTGCCAGGGTGTGGGACCTACCCGTGTCTGCCAGGAGAACAGTCTGTGGTCCATCTACACAGCGGGGCGCAGCCAGCCATTCATGGGCGAGCACCCCCACATGGCTCCGCGGGAAAGAGGCGGACACAGTCCGTACGGATTGGTTCTGTTGTAGAAAGTGCCCGGGTCGGCAAAACGAATCCATGATGGCAAAGCTTGGTGCTAGTTATCTTTTCAACGGTTTCTTCTGGGCGCTAGAAATCGTTGTCCTGTTGGTATTTGGCTCTGTTGACTAATGAGTTTGCCGACCACTGGGCTAACACAAACATACTCATGCACCAATCTTTTTTTTTTTTTTTTTAATATATTTTATTGATTTTTTACAGAGAGGAAGGGAGAGAGATAGAGAGTTAGAAACATCGATGAGAGAGAGTCATCGATCAGCTGTCTCTTGCACACCCTCCACTGGGGATGAGCCCGCAACCAAGGTACATGCCCTTGACCGGAATCGAACCTGGGACCTTTCAGTCTGCAGGCCGATGCTCTGTCCACTGAGCCAAACTGGTTTCGGCTCGTGCACCAATTTTTACGGGTAACAACTCCTTGACATTTTCATGACCCCATTGTGTTCATAAAGGGTTTCGCCAGAATCAGAACTGCTCTATCTTAAGCACTACCGAGGAATAAACGATTCCTCTTACAACAAGATGCTCAAGTCTGCACATCGGCGGGGAACCAGAGTGAGAAGATGCCTTCGGCTTCCCCCATTATATAGAAACTATTTTACTTCTGCAAATCTTACAAGGCATAGGACCCCGTGAGGGCATTGCTAGGGCTCCATCCACCAGGGCGAGGAAGGAGACCCCGAAGCTTAAGCCCCGCTTGGGGGAAACTGGTCTTACACACTCATTGCCCAGGACAAGAGAAACTTAAAAAAAAAAAAATACATTTTATCGATTTTTTTAGACAGAGGAAGGGAGAGGGACAGAAAGTTAGAAACATCGATCAGCTGCCTCTTGCACACCCCCTGCTGGGGATGTGCTCTCAACCAAGGTACATGCCCTTGACCGGAATTGAACCCGGGACCTTTCAGTCCGCAGGCCGACACTCTATCCACTGAGCAAACTGGTTTTGGCCAAGACTAACTTTTAAAGTCATTCAACAAAACGAATACTAGGTGACGTGTGTTGCATACAGTATGTGCTTAGCATGTGCTTTTGGGACTGAATGTGATAGATGAAATAGAGAAGGCCGGAGACCGGGTTGCCAGGACACAGGCTTTATTGAAGAGAAGAGAACCACTGCCGGCTGCTTCCAGAGAGAGGAACAGAAGAGTGCGAGGAGGGCCGGGACACAAGCACTTTTTAAGGGGAGGACACTCAGCACACGCTGATTGGTGGTTTCATGCAAGGCCCGTGACCAGGGACCTAAGGCCCTAGGAATGGTGGGGGCCCAGGGTATTTGGCAGGTGCTGATTGGTGGTTCACTGCTCAGGAATGTCTGGCTGCAGGTGGGGTTCACGTCTGTCCATCAACAGGAGGAGGGGAGGGTCTATCAGAAAGCTCATCCGGGAACAAGTAAAAAAAACCAATGCCATTTCATAAGGGCCTGGATGACCCAAGGCCCAAAGAGAATCATCCTCCCTGGAGACAAAGAGGGGAAGGGGTGGGGAGGCGAGGGAGGCATCAGGGCTGGGAAGGGGCTTGTTGGAGGCCAGGGGCGGGGGTCCAGAGAGAAGAGGGGCCCCGGAAATAAGGAAAAACCAACTTCTGGCCGCAAACAAGTCCCCAAAGCCCCGGCCCCGGGGCGGCGGCAGGCGCGGACCACCTGGGACGCAGGCACCGGGCCCCGCGCCCCTGAGGCCCCTCCTTCCGCCGCTCGCCCCGCCCCCTTTAAAACCACACCCACCAGCCCCGTAACCTCTACCCGGCCGCCTCCCATTGGCTGCGCGCCTGAGCGAAGCCTTCAGGGGCCAATGAGCCGCGGCCACGGCTTGGCGAGCGCCTTCCGGCCGCCCCTCCGCGCCGCCGGGACCGGCCTGCCTCGCGGCCGAGGGCGGCGGGGGCGCGGCGGCGGGACTGCGGCGGCGCGGACGCTCGGCATGGCGCGCCTGGTGCTCGGTGAGCGCGGCCTTCGTCGTCCTGGGGCCGTTTGGGGCCCGACCCCCACAGGGCCCGCCGCCCGGGCAGCGCCGTGGCGGGCGCGCGGCCTCGGCCCGGCCCACGCGGGACGCGGAGGGGAGGCTGTGGAGCCCGGGGCGCGGGGGGCGGAGGGGGGTCCGGGAGGCGGGAAGGGGCCTGGGCCGGAGCCCCCGCGGGCCCTCGGGCGGCGGTGCGGCCGGCGGCCTCGGCTGCAGCCCCCCCGGGGGTGCGGGTGCGAGCGGGGCGGGGGCGGGAGGCCTGAGGCTGGGCCCGCACCCGGGGCGCCGGGGACCCGGCAGCGGCGAGCCCGGTCCGAGCGCCGAGCTCCGGGCGGCGGGCGGCGGGCGGCGGGCGGGCGGGCGGGCGCCGGTGGCCGGGCGGGGTCTCTGCCCGCGGCCGGGGTTGGGGTGCAGCCTCCAGGGGACTTGGGTCCCCAGTGCGGATGGGGTCCCGGGCTCCTCGCACCGCCTGTCCTCGCCCCTCGTGTGATGGAGCGCCTGCTTCCAAGGAAATAAACACCAAAGCGCAGGCCCGGCGTCGCCTCGTGCCGGGAAGGGCCCCCCTAAAGCTGGTCTCGGGGCCCCTCCAATGGGACCGCGCTTCCCAGGACCACACGGAGCCCAGGCTTTCCTGAGGGTGGGGATGCCGGCCTTAGAGACCACGGGAGCGGCGCCCAGGACCCCGCCCTTCCCCGGCGCCTCCTTACACCCGGTCCCCGTCCCCGTCCCCCCGTCCCCCCGTCCCCATCCCCATCCTATCCCCCATCCCTATCCTATCCTCTTCCCCTTCCCCATCCCCATCCCCATCCTATCCCCCATCCCTATCCTATCCTCTTCCCCTTCCCTATCCCCATCCTATCCCCCATCCCTATCCTATCTTCTTCCCCTTCCCCAACCCCATCCCCATCCTATCCCCCATCCCTATCCTATCCTCTTCCCCTTCCCTATCCCCATCCCCATCCCCTTCCCTAACCCCATCCTCATCCCCATCCCCATCCCCATCCCCTTCCCTATCCCCATCCTCATCTCCATCCCAATCCCCTTCCCTATCCCCCTCCCCCTCCCCACTCGCATCCCCTTCCCCTTCCCCATCCCCCGCGGCAGGGTTTGAGCCCGGCCCCTCCCCGCACGAGTGGCTGTGTGTCTGGGGCGAGTCCTCCGTGGGGCTGTCCTGAGCGTTCACGTAACACGTCTGCAGAGAGCAAACAGGATGCAGACGTGTTTGCCGCATTGCTCGCGGGAGCATAGGTGGGGGGAGTTTGGTCTGTTTAACAGGTGCCCACACGTGATTCTGAAAGCCCCTTTCTTTAACCCATGTGACCAGCCTGCTGGGAGCCCACGCCGGCTTTCTGGGGGGCTGCTGGCAGGTGTGGGATGGGGATGGTGCTGATGGGGGTACGTAGCATCCTCAGCTGCTGGGGAGGAAGCAGGGCGAGCAGGATGGCAGGACCACCTGCTCACAGAGGCGCCAGCCACGCAGGTGTGCGGGGTTCCCAGCGGTGCGCATTATCGGGGAGTGGAGGGATGTGAGTTTGAGAGAGAACACTAGTGGTCAGCACTGACCTACTTTATCTTAAGTGGACCCAGGGTTTTGGATTTCTTGAGGGTTTCTGTGGAGTGGTTGCTGGCTATGTTTTTGCTGTTGGGATTTATACATCCTTTACCCTGTCTTTCTGAGTATGGTGTTTGATTTCCTTCTAACCCTTCCCGGTCAAACTGCCGTGTAATAAGGTTAGAGCTCAAAGCCGGATAGTGTTATCATTAAGGCATTTCCATTGGATAGCCATGTATTGGGGGAGGGGGGTGCTCTTGTGAGAATGAGGCCAAATTTAAAGACAAACGTCCAACACTCTATCCTACGTGATCTATAATGATAAAAACCGTAATATGCAAATCAGCCAAACAGCCGGACCACCATCTGGACAATCATGCTGTGACACCCACTGGTGCCAGACCAGCCGAGGCCAGTGCGATGCGATTGGTCAGGGGCCGGCCATTGCCCCGTGATCGCCCTGCAGAGGGAGGCCCAGGCCACCATCAGTGGGCTGTGGCAGGTGGGCAGGGCCTCCCTGTTTGGGGTGATCCATCGCGGGACTCCAGGACTGTGAGAGGGCACAGGCGGGGCTGAGGAACACCCCCACACACACACACCACCACCACCACCACCAGTGCATGAATTTTGTGCACCAAGCCTCTAGTCCTATATAGTTAAAGGGTAATATGCAAATCTACCGAACTGCAGAACAGCTGGTCGCTATGACGTGCCCTGACCACCAGGGGGCAGACACTCAATGCAGGAGCTGCCCCGATGGTCAGTGCACTCCCACAGGCAGAGCTCTGCTCAGTCAGAAGCCGGACTCAAAATCAAGAACAACCTCTTATTTAGCATTGTTTTGGAAGTTTAAAACAATGCAGTCAGAAAACAGTTATATATGAATTTTAGAGGAGGAGGAGAAATTTTGATAGTATTACCAATTTAAAAGACTTGTTCTTAAAATATTTGTAAGTCAGTTCAGAACTTGTGGTTTGTTTGTTTTTTAATATAGTAGTTATAAATTGCATTGAGTTCCTAGAGTAACAAAAATACACTTGGTCCACCGTGTAGCTGAACTCCGCCGTTACAACACGATACACTGTAGGCTTGATGCCACTACTCACGTGACACATCCTCGGAAGCGCACCCACAGCATCGCGAGGGCCTGGTGCTGTGCCAGCTGGGAGCAGTGGAAATAAAAGCACCAAAATGGTCCCTGCCCTTGAGAGTCCCAGTCTCGTACGGGAAACAAATTATTTTCCTTCACTTCAAAAAGGGGTTTCCGTAAAGAGGGCATGCTGACATGGCAGCCGAATAGCACAGGCCGAAGTACTGGTGGGCTACCCACGCTCACAGCGAGTGCGCTCCCAGGAGCTAGCGCCCTGGCCCATACAGCCGCAGTGACAGCGCTGCCCCCAGGCTGGGGACGGAGCCTGAGGGCACCAAGAGTGCCCTGTGAATGGTTTTCCGCGAGAGTGCCGCTGGCCAGGGGGCGGAGGGTTCTGGGGGCTCCAGCCCAGGGAGGGCAGGGCCCGGGGAGGAGGGAGCCGCCGGGTTCCCCCCGGCAGGGCCAGGAGCTGCTGACGCTCTGGTCGCCCCCAGGCCTGGTGAGCTGCACCCTCTTCCTCGCGGCGAGTGGGCTGTACTCCTCTAGCGATGACGTCACCGAGCTGACGCCGTCAAACTTCAACCAGGAAGTTATCCAGAGTAACAGCTTGTGGCTCGTGGAGTTCTTCGCTCCGTGGTAAGTATTAAAAGTGGTTGGTTGTCTGCTATCTGTGGTGCTTTAGAAGGAAGAACGCTGTATGACATGCATCTAGTTTATCTCCTTCACTGCTTGTTAGAAGTGGACGTGGGAGCTGCCACAAAGGGTGTTTATTAAAGGCCGTGGAGACAGGGCCGTGCGTGCCTGTATGTGTGTGTGTGTGTGTAGGTGAGTGTGTGTGTGTGTGTAGGTGAGTAAGTGTGTGTGTAGGTGAGTGTGTGTGTGTGTGGGTGTATGTGTGTGTGTGGGTGTATGTGTGTGTGTGGGGGGTGAAGTAGCTAATGATGCAAGAAAGAAGAAAAGGAAACGAAACTTGTAACTCAAGATGGTTCATCTTCTGTGATAAGGAGGATGAGGGGCAGGAGGGACACTAGAGACAGAACGGGGCGAGGGAAGGGAAGGGCCAGTGACTCCACTCTGTCTCTGAAGAGGGCTGCTGGTTCCTGTGAGGAGGAACCTGGTTCGGTCTTGCTTTACAGTCACTTGGAAAAAGCCCTCGGGGGTGAAGATGTAATTATGTTGAAGTTAATGGTGAACAATGATAGTCAGAAAACAGTACGTAGTTAAAACATTTAATGAAAACAAAAAACCCCAACAAATAGAAGCATAGCGCGGGTCAGCGGTGCGCAATGCGCAGGAGGTGTCACAGCCAGAAACGGAGGCCGTGCCTGGGAGGAGACCAGCTCTGGCCGGAGCAGCTGCAGGCGAGCTGCGTGGTGGTCTGGGACAGAGAGGCGCTGGGTGAACTGCCTCCAGCCGCGCACAGGATCGACAGGCAGACCCTCCCTGGTGGGCGCCTTAGGTCTGCCTGCTGGGAGGTTTTCCGTTACTGCTTCGTGTTTCCTGTGGCAGGCCGGGAAGCGGGGTTCGGGAACGCAGTGCCAGCCCCTGAAATGCTGCACTTGGCGTCCAGTCCTCTGGATGCCGCACTCAGTGCTCCGGTGCGGGCACAGGCAGGCCCTCTGAGGAGTGGTGCTGCCACATGACCGCCCAGCTGAGCCACACTTAGGCTCACGTACCGGGTACACGCTCCAGCTTCGTCTCTGGTGTGGAGTCATTCACACCGAGGGGGATTTAATTGAGCAGTAATTAGGGAACATTGTAAAAATCTGAGATGAACGGGATTTTAGTAAAGTCACCAGAAGGGGAGCTCCTCCAGGTTTCTGTTTTATTGATGCTTGTACTCTGTCAGCCATCACCCGGGCCTGTCACTCAGTAGACTGTTGGTGGGTGATTTTTGAATTGGGGATCAAAGACTTTAACTGTTGCCTTTATTTGTGTTTTTGTCCCCTAAAAGGTGTGGCCACTGCCAACGGTTAACACCAGAATGGAAGAAAGTAGCAACTGCATTAAAAGTAAGTTTTTGAGATGTCCACATTCACTTGTGCATGTTTCAATTCATGCTAATGAGTGAATGCATAATAGGAAATTAATTTGCATATTAAAGCTCAAAACCCTTGTATTGATGCCAAAATGATCTAGGAAGCAAAGGTGTAAAGTCCATTTTAGTTTTTTGTTGTCTGTCTGTCAGCTCTGTTTCCCCCGTCGCTCCTCTCGGGAACGGTTCCCGCCGGGGGCCTGTTGGCTGTGTGCAGCCTCCGTCCTCCTGTTTTCTCCATGGGAAGCGGGGACAGGTTCTTGCGGCGTCTGCTCAGCTGCCAATGGCCCATCCTGTCCTCTCTCCGCAGGGGGTGGTGCGCGTGGGCGCGGTGGACGCCGACAAGCATCAGTCCCTCGGCGGTCAGTACGGGGTGCAGGGATTCCCCACCATCAAGATTTTTGGGTCCAACAAGAACAGACCGGAAGATTACCAAGGTAAGGACTTGGCTACCTACCTCCTCCCCTGGCTGGAACTTTCATTGGAGCAGGGGCGGGGAGAAGAGAAAACTAGGATCTGGAACTTGCTAGCCTGCTCCTCTCCTCTTTGTGCCTAACCCTCCTGAGCCCTGCTGTGCACAGCGTTCCCACCTGCTGGGTGGTTCTGAAGCCTCACTGGTGCCTGCAGGTGCGGTGTTTATCGTTCACTTAGCTTCCCTCGCTGAGCCCACTCGGCCTTTGCGGTGGCAGCGCGGTGCTGTCCTGTGCTTCCCTTGTCTTTCTCTTTGTAACGAAAAAAGACTGGCTGCTTCATACTCTACAGGCACTGATGTTGAGTAAAGATTTTCCGGTGGTTTTTTGTTTATTTGTTTTCGTTAATCCTCTCCTGAGGATATTTTTCCCATTGATTTTTTTTTTTTAGAGAGAGGGGGAAAGAAAGAGAAACATCAAAGTGTGTGCGACACATGACACATTGATTGGTTGCCTCTGGCACATTCCCTGATAGGCAGGAGATTGAACTCAGGATCCTTTGGTGCACAAGCTGACACTCTAACCACTGAGCACACTGGCCAGGGCTACACATGTTTTCTTGCTGTGAGCTCTCTGCCTCTCACTGTAGGAGAGGGTCTGGCTTAGCCATGTGGCAGAGAGAAGGCTTGTAATTTGAGAGTTTAAACTGTCCATGTTACCATGGAGTATTTCGCCCATGAATCTTTGTCTTGTTAAGCTTTTAGACTCCCAAACTATTGAGAAGTAACTACAAACTTCCTGCTTTGTCGCTATGTAAATCGTATCTGTCTTGGTCACTGAGGCAACTGAGAACAGATTCTCAAAGCTAAATGTTACTTTAGTTCCCCTGTGGGTTCTTCTGTGCAGTGGTCCTATTTCATTTAAAGTATCACAGGCAGATGGATCATCACAGGGAAGGTCATCAGAGAGGCCAGGCTGGGCCATGTGTGGGGTCCTAATAAAAAGTATTGGGCGTGCCGAAACTGGTTTGGCTCAGTGAATAGAGCGTCGGCCTGCGGACTGAAAGGTCCCGGGTTCGATTCCGGTCAAGGGCATGGACCTTGGTGGCGGGCACATCCCCGGTGGGGCATGTGCAGGAGGCAACTGATCGATGATTCTCTCTCATCGATGTTTCTAGCTCTCTCTCCCTCTCCCTTCCTCTACGTAAAAAAATTAATAAAATATATTTAAAATCTATATATTGGGCGTGATGTAGCTAAAGCGTAAGTGATGGCTCACTTGATGACGCCTTGTCTCCCTGCAGGCGGCAGGACTGCGGACGCCATCGTGGATGCCGCTCTCAGTGCCCTGCGCCAGCTCGTCAAGGACCGCCTCGGGGGCAGGGGCTACAGTTCTGGGAAGCAGGTGAGGCTCCGGCTTTGCTGGGTGATGCCTGTGCAGCCTGAGGCAGCCTGGCGGAAGATAGGTTTCTTTTTAAAATACTGCACATTGGGGCGCTTTCCTTAAAACGTAACAGGAGGTTGGTCCTCGAACCAGAGGGAGTCAGCCCTCTCGCTTGCTCTTTGGCCACCTCAACCACCGTCATGGTAGCCAGTCAGTCCCAGCGCACCCTGCCCGTCCACGGGCCAGGAGCCAGCCCCAAAGGGGCCTCCTCGGCCCGCGGCCAGGAGAGGAGTGGGCGCAGAGGGCGACCACCAGGCCACCCTCACGTGGCACAGAGGAGAGGGAGCCAGCTCCTCCAGCTGGACGGCACAGGTGGAATTGGGGTGCCCTGTTGGCCCAGATCGGCGGCAGTGAGCCCGAGCTGGGGGATTGTCCGTGCGCACAGGGCCGAGGAGAAGGACGTTCCCGCTCTGTGGCTGGTGTCAGACGCCCTGGGTGAGAGGTGACGTTTAGCCGTCAGGGGCTTAGGCTCTTGTGAAGGGCGATGGGTTCTTCCTGACAAGTGAGCAGCCGTCCCCGAGCTCCGGGCTGTGGCCCAGGCGAGAAGCAAGGCACCTCCCTGTTTCTTGGGTTCAGCCCTGGAGGAGGGCGCTGAAAGGAGGGAGGGGTGTTCCTTTGTTTTTCTGGGCCGGAGAGACGGAGAGGGAGGAACAGGTGCGGCACCCGGTGCGCTGGGGCTCAGTGGTGGTGGTAAGGTGACTGAGCTAGGCTGAAGTTTAGAAAAACCGCAAGTGACTGAATTAGATGCCTGTTGTGCAGTACTGAATGTACTGCAGGTAACTTTGAAACCAAGTATTGCCTACCCAGCAAAATAGTATTACACAGTGTCCCTCACTGGAGAAAGTAGTTTTTACTGGAAAGAAAAACTCAAAAAGCTTAAAATGTAGAGGCATGTTGTCCTCGGTGTGTTTAGAAGGGAGTCCTGTTCCTTCGGCCGCTATGTGGTGTAATGTTTGCTGTCACATGACAGGGTCGAAGTGAAAGTTCAAGTAAGAAAGATGTGATCGAGCTGACAGATGACAGCTTTGACAAGAACGTTCTGGACAGTGAAGACGTTTGGATGGTTGAGTTTTACGCCCCCTGGTGTGGACACTGCAAAAAGTAAGTGCTCCTAACTGTGTCCTGTAAGGCACTGAGTTTTCAGTACAGTGACCGGGCTCGCTGTGGGGTTTCTGTTCTTGTGTTTCACTCTCCTCGTCCATTTTGCCCACCTGCCACCTGCCTGTAGCAACCACCAGTCTGTTTCCTGTGTCGAGGAGCTTGGGGTGTGTGTGTGTGTATTTAGATTCCACATATAAGTGAGTAAGTTCCTTTGAAAAGCGGAACCAGATCATAGATAAAACCATTATCTCCCACAAAGCTCTGACTCTAAGGAACGATGCACATTGGCATCGGTACTAGGAGTTTCCTCCGGCAGATTTTCCAAGGTTAACACTGAGCTAAGCAGTCAGATTAGGAGGTGACCAAGGACTGGAAGCAAATGGAGGGCCGCAGCATGTCTTTGTAAGTCCACGCGGAACACGTTTTCCAAGTGTGCCGCCCCTGGGCGGGAGAAGCTCGCGCTCGGGTACAGTACTGGTGCTGAGATGAGGTGTGTGTTCGCAGCCTCGAGCCAGAATGGGCTGCGGCGGCTACGGAGGTGAAAGAGCAAACGAAAGGCAAGGTGAAGCTCGCGGCGGTGGACGCCACGGCCAACCAGATGCTGGCCGGCCGGTACGGGGTACGTATCAGGCTCTCTGTGAGGTCACGCCGTCCACCGTGCTTCACCGGAACCCAGGCCTGTCAGTCTTCTGTAGCCGCCGTCTCGTTAGAGCGAACGTGCAGGGACCCTGGGGCAGGACGGGAGCTTCCCCCCGGTATGGCACTGTTTCTGTGGAGTCCCCAGGCTTGTCCAGCGTCCGGAGGGCTGTGGAGTTGTCCGCTGTGTGGAGCAGATAGGTCACGTTAGAACCCTGCCTTCCAGACCAGGGCTTGAATCGGCCCGTTAGCCCCCGCCTCACAGACTTGGGGTCATCCTTGGACTCTGCTGCAGCCATTAAATTACCTGGAGGGTGGTTTCAGAAACATAAAGACTGCCTTGCTTCTACTAAATGCTCGTTTGGTCTTTTAACAGATTAGGGGATTTCCTACGATCAAGATATTCCAGAAAGGCGAGTCTCCTGTGGACTACGACGGGGGGCGGACCAGATCTGACATCGTCTCCCGGGCCATGGACCTGTTTTCCGATAACGCTCCGCCTCCGGAGCTGCTCGAGGTCAGGGGCCAGCACACGGGGAGGGGTGCCTTCACCTGGCGGGGGGGCGGGAGCCTCTTCAGAAGGAGCTGTTCTCTAGAATCCTCTCTGACGTGTTTCTGGACTTTAAACGTTAGCACTAAGATGATTGCACTGTGAGAACAGGTGTAGCTGAGCTGCTCAGCAACGGAATGGATCTTCCCTTCTCATGCTGAGAACAGCAGCCGGCATTGCTGAGCACTGAGCTACATACGGGCTCTGTCTGCTTCGTGTACATTTTCCTCATTTAATGCTCATATGAACACTTAGCAGTAAACACTACTTTTAATCTCCATTTAACATATGGGGAAACTGAGGCACAAGGAGCTGCAAATTCATATAAATGTGACACGATTCAGTGCCAGACTGTGCGAGTTCTCAGCCCCCACCCAGTCGCTGAGGGCCCGGGCGGGGCTCTGGGGCGTGATGGGCGGTGGCTGTGGAGCAGCAGACGTGTCACCGGGAGTCTCCTGCTCCGTAACGGAAGGGGTGGTGCTCAGTCTTTGTCTCCGGTCCCAGATCATCGGTGAGGACGTCGCCAAGAAGACGTGTGAGGAGCACCAGCTCTGCGTGGTGGCCGTCCTGCCCCACATTCTGGACACGGGTACGAGGAACAGAACTCGCTGCTCCGAGACGTTTCCTAAAGCCCTTAGTGCTGCTCACTCCTCTACGTGTGTCTCTAACTGTCTGTGTTTGTGTGTGTGCGCCAGGAGCTGCAGGCAGGAACTCTTACTTGGAAGTTCTCCTGAAGCTGGCAGACAAGTACAAGAAGAAGATGTGGGGGTGAGTGGTGGAACCTTGTCCCTGTCGTCTGGGCAGCAGAGGTGCGCTTCCCGGGGGGGTGGCTCCTCTGGTTTCTCAGCATGGGCTCCGATGTTCGTTCATTTAGGAAGAAAAGAAGTAATACAGTTCCTTACTTATCAGGCAGCTGTTGGTCACATTTTCTCATATGAATTGTAGTTTAGATGGTGGTTGGAGTCCCAGGCTAGCAAGCAAAAGTAATTAGTAACATAGTTGACTTCTAGAATGGCCTTGAAGGCTAGATGAGGAGGCAGAGACAGCTGCTTCTGTAGCTCCCCTGCATCGGCCAGCCCTAGACACAGTTTGAACAAAGGAGCCTCTGTCCCTCCCTCTGCCTCTGGCTTCTCCTCCTCATCCTTGGTGCCGTCCGTCCCCGTGTCACCCTCTGTGTACCTCGTGTCCCCAGCTGCCACCTCCCTGCGCTTCGTACTTTCTATTGGTTCAGTCAGCATGTATTGTGTTTACCGACTGAGAAGGCCGCCTCTGTCATTTTCCATTCTCACCTTTGTGGAAGTTAAGCAATGAAATTTGGTTGAGCATTTTTTTAAAAATTAAATATATTTTATTGATTTCTGAGAAGAGAAAGGGGGAGAGAGAAAGATCAATGATGAGAGAGAACCATTGATCAGCTGCCTCCTGCACGCCCCACACTGGAGACTGAGTCCCAGCCCGGGCCTGTGCGCTTGACTGGGAATTGAACTGTGACCTTCTGGTTCATAGGTCAACACTCAGACACTGAGCCATGCCGGCCGGTTGGTTGAACATGATTATACATAGTGGGGCAAAGGTAGGTTTAAACTTGTGAGGACATGAAGCAATTTATTCTTGCATTATTTACTAATTATTGTAGATTTTCCATGTGAACAGCTGTAAACCTACTTTTGCACCACTCTCTATGCATTGGATAATAATATCACATCCATAACTTTTTAAAAAGTAACTATTACGTATGTTATAACTGCCTAAGTGATGCATACATAATTACCTAAATGATACTGGTAACAAAGACAGAATGTGCACAAGGCTTCGAGGACAGTGTTTTAGAGATGGGGGGGGGGAGAGAAACTTGGGGTACACAGACCATGGGCTTGTTGAGTTGGGGTTCTGAAAACATGAGAGAGAAACTAGAGTTACTCAGGAGGACATATAGAATACGTTGTTTTTAAAAATTAATCAGGATCGCTAGTTAGGACCTAACTGAGTGGAGGGGCCTGTGCCCTGACACCGGTCTGCCTCCCCAGGTGGCTGTGGACGGAGGCCGGCGCGCAGTCGGAGCTGGAGAACGCGCTGGGGATCGGGGGCTTTGGCTACCCCGCCATGGCGGCCATCAACGCACGCAAGATGAAGTTCGCTCTCCTGAAAGGCTCTTTCAGCGAGCAGGGCATTAACGAGTTTCTCAGGTAACCTTTTGCCCTTTCCAGTTGTTTTTATTTTGTTTTGTTTTTGCAGTGGGTTTTGATCGAAGCTGGGTTGGTGTAGAACAGGCAGTAAGTGGAACTATTTTGTACTTGACGTTGGAGTCTCAGAGGCTTCTCCGGTCCCGTCCTGCATGCTGTCTTTCCCACGGGAAGATTCTGCAGAAGAGCTGGTGCCCATCCTTCCCGCTCTCCGGTCACCTCGGCCTTCTGCGCCGTTGAGATCGGACTCTTCCCGAGTCTCTTCCCGATTCTCGGAAAGGTCTCTTGGGCGGAAGCAGCCTGTCTCCCCATTCCCCCCGAGCGTGCTTTGTGCCTGGCCTCGATGACACGGTTTCCGTTTCTGGGCGTTGGTGTTGGGTAGTGACTTCAGAACGGTGCACACTGAACAGCGCTCATAGCAGGTCCCAGTTCTCCCCGTGTGGGGAGCGCCTCCTGGGGGTTCTCCAGGCCACATCCCGTGCCCTTCACAGGGCACCTTCGGGCTCCTTCTCAGCAGCGGTGCTCGCCTGTGGGCCCCCGGGACGGTCTCTCGGCGCCTGCCCAAGGCGGGGCTCATGTCCCCCTGAAGCCGCCGGCGAGGGCAGTGCTCGCTCTGTCCGGGTCGGCCCCGGGAGGCCTGCGGAGTCGGGCTCCTGTCATGGCAGGGCCTCTGCTCGCGTGGCTCCAAGGAGGGGAAGGGAACTGCCGTCCTCCACAGCCTTTCTGGGCTTAAACTCCCAGCGGGGGTCGTTTTACAGGCTGTGTGTGAGCAGAATACACGTGCCGTTCATTAAATCACCGCCCTGTGGACTCCAGGCCTGGGGGGTCCTGCTTGGGAAGGCAGCGCCGTTCCTGGCGTGTCCGGGAGCCCCCGGCAGGCCGTCCTCTCCGCTGTCCCTTCCGGGCACCGCAGTCCCATAATGCCTGCGCTTGTTTGCTGTTTCCCCCAAGGGAGCTCTCCTTTGGGCGAGGATCCACGGCGCCGGTAGGAGGCGGGGCTTTCCCCGCCATCAGCACCAGAGAGCCCTGGGACGGCAAGGATGGCGAGGTGAGTCCGGGACGCGACAGGAGGCTGTGTGTGCAGGACTCGCGGCGGGACTCCGTCCTCTTGTCCTTCCCGGTCCCTGCGCGTCTTTGCTCCTTGTGAACTGAATCCTCCTGTCGGACCCAGGCCCTCGCCTGACACCAGAGGCAGCACAGCCTCAGGGAGGCCCTCTCGGGACGGCTCGCCCCTCCTGTGCACGGGGGCTACGTGGCATTGGGTGCTCTTAACGCAGACGCCCAAGGTAGAGCCACGGGTGCTGCCTCCGGACAGTCCCCGGAGTGAGCGCCACCTTGAATTCAGGCACCCGCTTACAGCATGAGAGACGCGGCTGTGACATGGCCGCGCTGAAGAGGCCAGTAAATCCGTGCCCCCCGGCGGCGGAGCCGGGGCGGGCAGAGCCGGTGGTGTGGCCCAGCACCGCGGTCCTCCGCTGAGGGAGGCCGAGCTGGGCCGCGGGCCTGCGCCTGCGCCTGCGCGGCTGACGGCCCTGTCTTGCAGCTTCCTGTGGAAGACGACATCGACCTCAGCGACGTGGAGCTGGACGACCTGGGGAAGGACGAGTTGTGAGGCGGCGGCTGCGGTGCTTTCCTGGGAGCGGGTGTTGCCGGCGGTGGAGGAACGTCCCTGCCATCAGACCAGCCACCGGGCTTGTCACCAGGAAGTGGCACTGATTGGTCATTGGGAAACTCTGCTACAAGGACCTTCTGCGTCTCAAGAAAACAACGGAAAATTCTATGAATTGTAGCCAGCGGACCGGTGGTGTTCTGTCACGTACTGTTTTGAAGGAAACTGCTGGGCTGTTGACACACTTTCCCCTCTGACTGCTGGGTGTTCTCGGAGGCTGTTTCTTATGTCAGTTTTTTAATGTGATTCTTTCATTTGAATATTAATGGCTTTTCCATGAAAGAATAAAATATTTTGGACAATGCCAACAAATGTATGAAATGAGTGTCCAGTCCCACATTCCGAGTCTGATGTTAGCCAGTGAGAGCATATGGTGGTGCCGCCTGGCCCTGATGTCTCCTCCTCAGAACGTGTGGGGCTGTGCCGTCGGGATGCCCGCACAGCACCTCCCTCCCAGGCGGGCTGCCAGCGGCAGCTGCAGGGAACACAGCTGGCTGTACAGTTTGCACAGGGTTTTCCGTGTTGCTGCCAAGTCCTCCCAGCGTCCCTGAAGACAGGACATGTAAGCAGCAGGTGGCTCTTCTGAGCAGCCCCGTCCAGGTAAGACGTTCGGGAAGGGCAGTGTGGGTCATGTCAGGAAGGAAGAGCCCATTGGAAGGACCGAGCACTTCTTTATTGTAACTTACAAAAAATAAATACAACTGTGAGCAACTTCTGCGAGCAATTTCTCTGGAAAGCTAAGTCCTGATGAGACGGCCGTCCTGCGGAGGGACAGGAGCGTCTGGCACGCCGTCCGCAGGGCACCCGCTGGGCGTGCTAGTCGAGAAGGCTGAGGTCGATGCGGAAGTACACGTACGGGTAGTAGTCTTGGTTGTTGAGTTGCAGCCCAGGGATGTCCACAGCCGCCTGCAAAAAAGGCAGCCTGCACTGAGTGCCCAACAAGTGTCCGGGTTTGTCTTTACTTTTTTGAGGAAGCTCTAGACTCTGACCATACACTCTGCCCTGCTCAGCCTACCTCCCTTCCCCCCTTCCCCTCTCCCTGGTTCCCCCCGCACCCCATGTGGGGACGTTCGCATCCTGCAGAGGGGCTACGGACGGACAGCGCTGTGTCCGGTCGGGTACCTACGTCCAGCATGCTGGCAGCTGCCACCTCGTCCAGGTGTCTGAAGACGGAGTTCAGGACCTCGCGCAAGCGCTTGGTAGAGGACTTCTTGTGAGGCTGGAGGAGCACAGCCTGGAAATTCACGGGGAGCCCGTACCTTCCCGGACAGAAAGCGGTGTGAGGCGGTTACTCCGAGGCCAGTGTGGGGACGGAGCTGGACGGGACTAAGAGCGGGTCCCGATGGAGAGCCACGTGCGGCTCTTTAGCCCTTGAGTGTTTAGCAAAGGCCAGCTTAGGAGTACCTTCATTAAGTTAATAACAATGTACCTACCTATAGAGTTTAAGTTTAAAAAATGTGCTCAGCCGAAACCGGTTTGGCTCAGTGGATAGAGCATCCACCTGCTGACTAAAGGGTCCCAGGTTCGATTCCGGTCAAGGGCATGTATAGGCACATCCCGGTAGGGGTTGTGCAGGAGGCAGCTGGTCGATGTTTCTCTCTCATCGATGTTTCTAACTCTCTATCCCTCTCCCTTCCTCTCTGTAAAAATATCAATAAAGTATATATTTTTTAAATGTGGCTCTCAAAAAAAATTTCAGTTGTCCTGTTGCTGTTTGGCCCTGTGGACGAGTGAGTTTGCCGACCGCTGGCCTAGTTTCTCAGGTGCGATCTCTCCACAGTCTGGGAAGCGAAAAGGCTTTCTTTGAAGAGGATCAGGTGGGCCTGGCTGCCATGGCTCAGGGTCGAGCATCGACCTACGAACCAGGAGGTCATAGGTGATTTCCGGTCAAGGGCACAGGTCCAGGTTGTGGGTTTGATTCCCCAGGGGGGGATGTGCAGGAGGCAGATGATGGATGATTCCCTCTTATCACTGATGTTTCTCTCTCCCTCTCCCTTCTTCTCTGACATCAGTAAAAATGATTTTTAAGAAGGACCTGGTAGCTCTGCACATACAGAGCAGAGGGAAAAGGCAAGCTCCACAAGCTTAGGTGTCAGTGACCCCCGTTGGGGACACGGAGACTTGGAACCATTCGCCCCGAGTACGGGCGGGCGTGGGACCGCGAGGACCGTTCCCAGGGCCCGGCTCTGAGCGTGGCTTTTTACAGCGCTCACGCTGCACAGCCGCCGGGACACCCCCACCGCGGCAGGGCCGGGCGGCTCATCGCCGGACCAGCCTCTGAGACGCGGAGGGTGAGGAGCAGGGCCAGCTCCGTCTGCGTCTGGAGAAAACTGCCTCTGCGGCCGCGGGGAGGATGAACTGGGCCAGACCAGGAAGGAGCCCACGGCAACAGCCGGGCCAGCCGAGGCGGGAGAGCGGAGGAAGCAAACGCAGGCTGGCAGGTTTGTGAAAGGGTGGAGGAAGGGGCTGGGAGGGAGGGAGCCACCTATCCAGAAACCTACACTGGAAGGGCGGGACCCGGTGTGCAGGAGCTTGGGCGGCCAGGGGGCTGGTGGGAGGGGACCTGGGGCCACCTGAGTGCAGGGCAAGGCAGGAGGGCACCTCGGGATGTGTTCAGGATACGGCTCAGGTGCCAGCACACACAGAGCAGGCTCCAGAAATAGTCCCCAGCGATTCCACTCTCATGAACACATAGGACTGTGCACATCTGCACGTTTAAAACGCCAAGAACAAACTGCATCTGAGCCGTGCTCTCTCTGTGTTCAAGCTTCAGAGGATTCTCTTCATTGTTTGTGCTCATCTATCGTTTCTAAAATCTCCACGGTGAGCCAACCTATTTCGCTTCTGTTTTTTAAAACTGTCCCACGTGTTGGTCCTGCTGGTTTGCGTTTTACTTCCCTGGGGCCTTGAGAGGTGGGCTCCAGGGTCAAGGTGGGAGGGACTGGTGTGCTGCAGGGTCCCCAGGCCCTGGTGGCTAGCGGCCGGGGGCTGGGGGAGCCAGCGGGGGACCGGGAGGCACCTGCCGGGGCTGGCAGGAGAGGGACAGAGCAGCGGGCAGCAGGGGCCCGGGCGGAGGGCGTGTTTACCGGACCCCGGAAGTCCTGGGCCTGGGGAGGCAGGAGGGAGCCCCATGGCCCCAGCGCTGCTGCTCCCAGCCCCCCACCCCGGACGGCCCGCCGGGCCCCTCCTGACCCACCTGAGCACGGACTCCACGAACACGCGCAGCGCCTTGAGGTGCACCCAGGCGATGAAGGCTTCGCTGAAGTTCACCTTGAGCCAGCGCAGCAGGGGGCCCTGCGGAGACAGCGAGCCGTGACCCTGGCCCTCCGCCGCCCCAGCCAAGCGGGCCTGCCCGCCACCAGCCCGTCACCTCCAGGCGGCCGGACAGAGTGAGCCCTGAACAGAGAAGGAGCCCCGGGCAGCGGAAGCAGCCAGTGGACCCACAAGGCCCCGGCAGGCCCAGGGCCGGGAAGCTCAGCGGCCAGCCACCGGCGCATGCGTGGGGCCACCGCAGACCGGGCAGCCCCTGACCTCAGGCTCTCGGCAGGCGGCTCCCGGCTCCCATCGGACTCTGTGCTGCCCTGGCCGGCCCCTGCATCACTCTGCCCAGGAGCCCGGGCGTGCGGGGTGCACTAATGCGGATGTGGCCGGTCATCTGGGGGGTCCGAGTCTCGCAGCAAAGGATCTGAGCCACCAAGGTCAGGAGGGGGTCCCGCGAGCTGCCCGCCCCGCCTGCCCCCAGCAGGGCCTGCCCGTCACCAGCTTGTCCCCTCCAGGCAGAGCAAGGCACCTCGGCCCATAAGCACCGTCCGCTGTTGGGGGGCAGGGCCGCCCCAAAGAGGCCCGGAAGGCCCCGCGCCGAGCTCCCTGAAGACCTCAAAGCTGCGAGAGAGGACAGAAAGGCAAGGATCGGCTCCGGACACCGCGCTGGCGAGGGAGGACATGCGAGCGGGACACCAGGGCCCCCGGGTGCTTACCTCGCCCTCGCCCTCACTGTCTCTCTCTCTGTCGCTGTGCCCCGCAGCAGGCCTATCGGGGTTACCTAGCGGGGTTACCTTAACCCTGTGGTCCGGGAGGGTGGATGGTCCCTTTTTAAGAGCAACACAGGAAGTTTGCTAAAGGCACAGAAATGACAGTACTCTTTCAGGAGACACGCATCGGAAACAAACGATTCTCCTGCCTGCAGGGAAGGCTGGCCCCGGGTGCCGCCCCCCGTCTGGGGAAGCCCTCATGTGGGCCCACATTCCGTGGGAAGAGCGGGTCTCAGGCAGAGGCTGGGATTGCACATCGCTCCCTCCGCCTGGCCTGGGTCAGCGCCTGCCCCCTCCGGGAGCTGTCTGTCTAGGCCCGTGGTCGGCAAACTGCGGCTCGCGAGCCACATGCGGCTCTCTGGCCCCTGGAGTGTGTCTCTTCCACAAAATACCACAGCCTGGGCGAGTCTATTTTGAAGAAATGGCGTTAGAAGAAGTTTTAAAAATCTGGCTCTCAAAAGAAATGTCAGTCGTTGTGCTGTTGATGTCTGGCTGTTGGCTAATGAGTTTGCGGACCGCCGGTTGCCAGGGTGTCTCCCCCCAGCCCAGCCGCGGCAGCCCCCTCGGCCTGCAGGGTGTCCGGCATGCAGTGAGCACACGCACCCTTTACCATCTCTCTCTCAGGCGGGTGGGCAGCTGGGGAGACCCACCTGTGACCTCAAAGGGAACTGACAGCATCCAGGACCTGGCAAGTCACCAGAAAGACACAGGATGCTGCTCACGTCTGCCCCCCACAGGCTGAGGGCTGAGCCTGCAGGAGCAGGCCCGCTGGCCCCAACCCTGGCGCACAGCGAGGGCCGGGAGGGACCGAGTGTTTCCGAGTGAGCGTCCCCTCCGAGCTCCGTGTCCTGAAGCCCACACCGCGAAGAAGCACCGCGGGAACCCGCGAGCTGGCACAGGTGTCGGCTTGGGTGTCCGTCACCTGGGTCCTCGGAGGGCTGTGCCAGCCCAGGTGGGTGCCCAGGGACCCACCCACCCGTCCTCCGGGCGGGACCTGCCGCCGGACCCCTGTGGGAGCTGCTGTCACCTGGCTCCGGTCTGGACCCCGGGAGAGTCCCCAGGCGTCAGGGCTGAGGCTCAGGCGCCACCCCTTTGGGTCTCAGCTCTGGTGGTGAGCACCTTTCCTGCCTGGGTGCCCGGGTGCCTGGGTGTGTGGGTGTGTGGGTGTGTGGGTGCCTGGGTGCTGGGTGCCTGGGTGTGTGGGTGCGTGGGTGCCTGGGTGCCCGGGTGCCTGGGTGTGTGGGTGTGTGGGTGTGTGGGTGCCTGGGTGCTGGGTGCCTGGGTGTGTGGGTGCGTGGGTGCCTGGGTGCTGGGTGCCTGGGTGTGTGGGTGCCTGGGTGTGTGGGTATGTGGGCCTGAGGCCTTGGAGCCCAGGGCTCCAGCTAAGCCCTGTCTCAGAGGATCTGCAAAGTGTGTGCATCCCTTTAGGGTGCACGTCCATACATATACGTGTGCACGTGTGCTTATGCTTGTGGGGTATGTTTTATGCTCAGTTCCCATGGACTCTCACAGGGCCCGGTCCAGTCCAGGGGGGCTCTGAGAACCCCATTTGGGGGCCCCATGGATGGTGCTCACTCCCGAGGGGCGGCCTGTCTGGATTCCCTCTGAAAAGGCCATTGAGCCCGACCGGGGTGCTCAGTGGTGAGCGTCGCCCTAGGAACCAGGAGCTCAGGGTTCAGTTCCCGGTCAGGGCACAGGCCCAGGTTGCGGCTCCATCCCCAGTGTGGGGCGTGTAGGAGGCAGCGGATCCATGATTCTCTCTCATCCTTGATGTTTCTATCTCCCTCTCCCTCTCCCTCTCCCTCTCCCTCTCTGGAGTCAATAATGAAATAGTTTGGAGCAAAAAACGGCCATTGACCCGGAGAGGCCGGGCCAGATGTGCCGGGCGCCCGGCCCGCGGCCCGGAATGCTCGGGGCAAACACTCGGCCAGGAGAGCCCTGTGGCTTCGCACGCCCTGCAGCCCGGTGTTTACACACGGCCCTCCCTCCCAGCGGCCGGAGCGAGCACACTCCCCATCCTCCCTGCATCGGGGGTGCTCCCAGAGCCCGCCCGCCAGGACTGAGGGGGGACCCGACACTCCCCCACCGCCCAGGGCACCCCGTCTGGAACGCTCCCATTCCCAGAGGTGGACGGAGCACCCCGTTCAGACACCAGAGTCTGGTCTCCCTCTTGAGCTCGGCTGCCCTCCGCGTTTCCCAGTGGCCGCTGTCGGGAATCTCGGGGGAGCACCCCGTCTTTGCTGAGAGCACGGCGAGGCTAAACACGGGCGCTGGGGGCGGAGGCGGCACACCACGCCTGGACCTCACGCTGCCGAGGACGGCCGCTGACCGTGGCCTCCCCTCCGGGCGGCCCTGCCTGCAGCCGGCCAGCCGTGCTCGACCTCAGGGCCCAGGCAGGTCCCCTCCAGGGCCTGGCTCATCGCCCTCTCAGCGCCCCGACTTCTCAGCGACAACAGAGCCGGTCCCTTCCCGGGGGCAGTGCCAGGGCCACCGTTCCCAGCTCAGTGCTACCTCCACATTACTGTGCCGTCACCTCCCAGGACCCGCTCCGGCTGCCCCAGGAGAGCACACGTGCCTGGGGAGGGGGTGGAGTGGGGGTGCCCAGGGGCGTGGGGACGGCGGGGCCCTCTGTCCCCGTCTGCAGAAACCGCGGCCTGAGGCCGTACTCACATATTGTTGCTTCTTAGCGGTCAGCAGCCTGGCCATCTCCTCCCGCTCCCGGGTGATCTCTTTCTCATCATAGTAAAACTCCCGGACCATGAACCTGACGGCACACAGGCCGTCAGGGGCCGCTCCTTCCAGGGGCCGGGGCCCGCCCGCCGCCCGCCGCCCGCCGCCCGCACTTACTTGTTCTCTTTGGCTCTGGCTTTGAAGTCGTCGATCACTTTGCGGAACAGGGTCACCGTGAAGAGGCCGCCCTCCTTGTCCTCGCAGATGAGCCTGTGGAAGACCGTCAGCTCGTTGGGCTGGGCCGGGCCGGCCGGCGGGCTGTCCTCGCCTCGGAAGGAGGCCGCTGTCCCCTCCTTTGGTGGCTGCACCCCTGGCCCCCCTCCCTCTCCTGTCCGTTCACTGCTCCCCAAGCCGAGCCTCAGGGGCCTCAGGCCCGGGAGGAGGGGACGGAGCCTGGCTGTCCGTGGTCTGGGGCGGGGACACGGGGGCAGGCAGCACATGGGGGGCTCAGGGTGTATGTGGGGGCGCTCAGGGCACCCTTCACCTAATGCCTGAGAGGCGAGGCCACTCCTGGGCCTGGCCCCCTGGCGGGCCCGGTGCCCTGTCCTGGCACGCGACGGGCACGGCAAACCGGGGGCCGGGGGAGGGCTGTTTCGGTTGGTGGAACAGCCCACAATGGCCCCTGCACGGCCAGAGTCACAGTGTTCCCGTCAGACACACCTCCTGGCACACGTCCGCGGAGAGCCACTGCGGCCGCCGTCCCCTCCCCACCCTGTGGCCACACCAGCCGACAGGGCAGAGCGGAGGGCAGTGACGGAGGGCCGCAGGGAGGGCTTCCCGGAGGAGGGGGCAGGGAAGCCACGTCCCAAAAGCTGGGGGGCGCCCGGCACATGGCGGGCGCGTGGCCGAGGGAACCGCGGGCAGAGGGCTCCGGACGGGCACCGGCGCTGGGCGCCCACACACACCGGCCTCCGGACCCCCGGGGAAGCCGGCATCTCGCTCACTTGGTTGACCGAGGGACCACCATGTCCGAGAGGGACTCGTAGGTCTTCTGCCACTGCACGTAGTTCTGTCTGCGAGGACACAGGCGTCAGGGATTTCCGTGGGAGAGGCTGCGGGGTGTCCCCGTGTTCAGGAGGCTGTGCACCCCTTTTCCCAGGGACCAAGGTGAGCAGGAGCCCCCTGCCCAGCCCGACCCCAGGCCGGCCTCCCTGTGAGGCCCTGAGCCCCAGGCAAGGCCAGAGACACCGGTGGGCGGATTCTGCCGGGCTCTGCGCGGCCTGGGGCGAGAAGCTGGCACCTGATCCCTGGCTGCAGGCGAAGGGAGCCTGTCTGACACCTGGCGCGTAGTAGGTGCTCAAGGCCTGGCCACTGCGGCCACCGCTGTTCGCCGGCAGGCTGGCCCCCCCAGCTGCCTCGGGACCTGCGCCCGGCCGCCGCCCGCCCACTCACGTGGGGACGATGACCAGCAGGGTGACCAGGTACTCGGAGTCCAGCACAAAGTCGTCTTTGCTCACGATGTCGCTCAGGGTCCGCGTGAAGAGGTTCGCCCTGGGCAGAGGGCGTGGTCAGCAGACAGGCCCCCGTGGAGGCAGCACACACCAGGCACCCACACTCACACCCAGGCGGGGACACGGGGGCCGCCAGTGTGCGGGGGGCTCCGGGCACCCCCAGCCCCGCGTCCGGGAGCCCAGCACTGCGTGGCTGGCAGGGCCTGGCACTGCGCTGCCCTGTGCTGCCGCCGCTGCTGGCAGGAGCCCATGGCGGCTGCCGAAGCTGCTCCAGCGTCAGGTCGGCGGCCGGCCCCCAGCTGCACGGTGTTCAGGGCGCGGCCGCCCAGCGAGGGCTCCGTTTCCCTTCGCAGGCCCCGCGGGCCGGGCGGCCGGGGTCTCTCACCTGAAACACTCTCTGCCGCACGGAGCCGGGGCGGCATGGGGGTCAGGGTATTTTTAGCATCGGGATCGAGGCCACTGCCTGCACACGGCTGATACCGCCAACGACCGCCTGGCCGCACACACAGCGCTCCCCGAGCCCACCGCTCTCCTGGGCCCCCAGGGCTCGGACAGGCTGCTCCCAGCCTCCCCCCCCCTCCCGGCCTGTCTGTCTGTCTGACTCGCTCTCCCACAGACACAGCCCGCCACCGGGACTTGCCCCCTGTGGACCCGCGCTGTGCGACTGCACTCACTGGGCCTTCTGGTTCAGGCTGTCCAGCGTGGCCTTGAGGGCGCTGTAGGCGGCCGTGCGGGCCTTCAGGTCCGTCTCGATCTGCGCCAGCTGCTGCTCGGAGAAGCAGAAGCGTTGGACGCGTCGGCCAAACCTGGCCATCGTGCCGCCCATCGCCCCCGGAGCCCTCAGACAGCGCCCGCCCGCCGGGTCCCCGCGGCCTCCGGGGCCCCCCCTGGCGCCCGGGCAGCCCCAGAATCACTGCCCCCTCGTCTGACCGGCCGGGGGCTGGGACCTCTGACGCGGGGGACGCCCATGGAGCCGCACCCACGTCCCCGCCTTCTGGCCCCGCCCAGGTCCCAGGCACGGGCAGCAGCGGCCTGGCGTGTGCAGGACAGAACAGGGCGGTCCCAACGGCCACCTCCCTCGTCCGCCTGCCCACCTGCCCCGCCCTGGGCTCTGCCCCTCTCCTCCCGCGGACACCACAGGAGGCCTTGTTCCTGGCTGACACGCTCCGGCCATGCGGCCGGCGGGGCTGTGCCTGTGAGGCTCCCGGTGGCCAAGGGAGAGGGAGAGGGGACGCCCCCGCGGGACACCCGGGTCCCAGAGCCTGGCACTCTCCTCTGTGGCCAAAGCTGGAGGCCACTGCTGCCCAACACGCAGCACCCCAGCTGGCGCCCCATTGTCGCAGGCACCGGCCGAGGGCAGGATCCCCAGGGCTGTCCCAGGCCTCAGAGCTGGCAGGAGGGGGGGGGGGGGGCTGAGGACCCCAGCCAGGGCCCAGATGCCATGGAGGGGCCCACTGCCCCTGTCATAGGATGTGAGGTGTCCCTCTTCCCCCCCACCCCGTCTCTCACCTTGGCCAGGGTGTCCACCAGGCTGGGCAGCGGCTGCTTGGCCGGGTACTTGGCCATGTCCCACTCGAAGTGGGTCACGAAGGACGTTAAGTCAACTGGAAGGACAGACACCCGCGTCAGCGCACGTGTGAGCGGCTCCCCCGGGCCCCGGAGCCGTGCGGGCCGGACCGGGAGGGGAGCGCCGGGAGGGCGGCCGGACGGCGTCTGGCAGAGCTCGCACCCGCGCCCAGACCCGTGTTTGTGCGGGAGGCAGCGCTCTCCCCCATGGCTCTCCGTCCGGGCCCTGCCCGTGGCCCGAGGGAAAGGAGATCTGAGACCTTTCACCAAAGCCGCCTGGGTCAGCCCAGCGAGCCCTGTGGCAGCAGGCCCCAGCCGGGCGCCGGCCGCGTGTGCGGGGCCGCGGGGCCTGGCCCTTCCTCCACCTCCACCGCGCAGGGGAGCGGAGCCCAGAGCCGCCCTGCGAACGCGGGGCCAGCGAAGGCCGGCGGGGCCGCCCCGGGGCTCCGAGGAGCAGGCTCCCCCCGCCGGGCGCACACTCAGCCCGGCCCGAAGCCGCCGGGCCACGGGCCAGCCACCGGGGCGGCAGGCGGGCGCCGGCAGGAAGCACTGCAGAGCCCAGCGTGGCCGCACCCGGGACCTGAGTCCCAGTGCCCCCAGTGCCCCCAGTGCCCCCAGTGCCCCCAGTGCCCCGTGTGGCGGCCCGCGGGGCTGCAGGCGGCGGGGGAGCCGGGGTGAGGGAGAGGGAAGGGGGAGCCGGGGGTGAGGGAGGAGGAAGGGGGAGCCGGGGGTGAGGGAGGGGGAAGGGGGGAGCCGGGGGGGAGGGAGGGGGAAGGGGGAGCCGGGGGTGAGGGAGGGGGAAGGGGGAGCCGGGGGGAGGGAGGGGGAAGGGGGAGCCGGGGTGAGGGAGGGGGAAGGGGGAGCCGGGGGTGAGGGAGGGGGAAGGGGGAGCCGGGGTGAGGGAGGGGGGCGAGGGGAGCCGGGGGTGAGGGAGGGGGCGGGGGAGGGAGCCGGGGGTGAGGGAGGGGGCAGCGGAGGGAGCCGGGGTGAGGGAGGGGAAAGGGGGAGCTGGGGCTGAGGGAGGGGGAAGGGGGGAGCCGGGGGTGAGGATGGGGGCGGGGGGAGCCGGGGTGAGGGAGGGGAAAGGGGGAGCCGGGGTGTGGGGTTGGGAAGGGGGGGACACGCTGCCCTCCGGGCTGGGCGGCTGCGGTGACGGGCGAGGGGCCGCTCAGGATCCCCGTCGGCCCAGTCACCGGGCCCCACACCGGCCCGGACCCCGCCTCCCGGGGACATGCGGGCGGGCGCCACACGGAACACGCACAGCAACAGCACGCCACCTACTCTTTAGACATTTCATCTTTTCCTTCAGACCTGCAACGGGAGAAGGCCGTCAGCCCAGGCGCTCACACCAAGGCCGGGGCTGCCCGGGGGCCGCCCGAGCCGATGGCACAGACGGAGGTGCCCGTGGGGGCTCGGCACCGGGCGCCCAGGCACGCACCACCCGGTCAGCGCCGACGAGCCCAGAGTCAGGGCGCTGGAGTCTCAGGCCCAGGGCGAGTAAACCAGAGCATCTGGGGCCTAACCCCCCACTGGGGATGTGCCCTCAACCAAGGTACATGCCCTTGACCGGAATCGAACCCGGGACCTTTCAGTCCGCAGGCCGACGCTCTATCCACTGAGCCACACCGTTTAGGACTCAACACTGAAAAAAAAATTTTTTTTAAAGGGTCAAGCTTTTATATATATTATATATTTTATTGATTTTTTACAGAGAGGAAGGGAGAGGGATAGAGAGTCAGAAACATCGATGAAAGAATCATTGATCAGCTGCCTCCTACACACACCCCCACTGGGGATGTGCTCGCAACCAAAAATGTGCTCGCTTGACCAGAATCGAACCTGGGACCTTTCAGTCTGCAGGCGGACACTCTATCCACTGAGCCACACCAGTTTCATCTCACACTGAAATCTTAAGGTGTGCAGGAGGCAGCTGATCAATGTTTCTCTCCCATGGATGTTTCTAACTCTCTATCCCTCTCCCTTCCTCTCTGCAAAAAAATCAATTAAATATACCCAATATATATATAAACACAGATGTTACCTTTAAAAAAACCTTTAAAAAAAAAGATTCCGGCCGAGACCGGTTTGGCTCAATGGATAGAGCGTCGGCTTGGGGACTGAGGGACCCGGGTTCGATTCCGGTCAAGGGCATGTACCTTGGCTGCGGGCATATCCCCAGTAGGGGGTGTGCAAGAGGCAGCTGATCGATGACTCTCTCTCATCGATGTTTCTGGCTCTCTATCTCTCTCCCTTCCTCTCTGTACAAAATCAATAAAATATATTAAAAAAAAAAAAAAAAAAAAAAAAGATTCCGGTGTGAGGCCTCCCTCCGCACCCAAAGGCACCCTCAGCCTCGATGGGAAAAGGGACGGAAGGTGGGGGCTGGGGGCAGGATGGAGCCTTCCAGGCGGGAGAGGGCGAGGCTGGTGGAGAGGGTGGGCAGGCCCAGCAGCCACCATACCTCCCCGTACACGTTTCCACTCCACAGTCCACGGAGACAGGGTAGAAAAAGTGCCACAGGGGGGCGGTAAACCGGCCAAGGGGCCTGTCTTCCCAGCGTCGGGTGTTGAGCTAACAGCGGGGCGGACAGGGCTGGTTGGGGGGCAACGGGTGTCGCTGCCCTCAGTCTTCCCATCTGTAAACCGGGCAGCCCCCGGAAGGGTTTCTGTGGTCCAGTGGACCGGCTCACTGGCTTCCGAACGGAGAGCACGCCTGTCCCAGGGCCGGGTGGGATGGGCTGGGATGGGTGGGGAGGAGGTGGCATCCTCCGGGCGCTGCAGCGTGGCCACCCGGGGGCTGCCGGCCGGCCACCTACCTCCGTTGGCCAGCAGGTTCTCCTGCGCCTTGCCCTTGGCGGCGTCCTCCATCACCTCCACCACGCTCTGGGCCATGCGCTTTATGAGGCTGCGGGACAGAGCAGGGCCGCTGAGCGCCGGGCGCCGCCCCCGTGCTCCCCGCCCCATCTGCTCTGCTCCGGCAGCCGGAGGAGCCGGCGCCCCGGGGGGCCGATCTGGCCAAGGGCAGGAGTGAACCCCTATTTCCACGTCTGGGGAACAAGGAAGAAGCAGACCAAGAAGAGCGTTCTGCATCAGAAGATGCCCTGAGAGGCCCTGCTGGAACCCCATGTACCACCCTGCCGGGACCCCTCCCCCTTCCGGGACCCTCCCCCTTCCCGGACCCTCTCCCCCTGCCGGGACCCCTCCCCCTGCCGGGACCCCTCCCCCTGCCCGGACCCCTCCCCCTGCCGGGACCCCTCCCCCTTCCCGGACCCCCTCCCCCTGCCGGGACCCCTGTGCGGCCGCTGGGACGGCGGAGGCCCCACGGAGGGTTGTCACGGGAGGGACGGTGCCGGCGGGGCCATCAGAGAGGAAGGGCGCCTGGGAAACGTGGTATTTCCATCGGCTCGGCGATGCCGGGAAGGGCTCGAAGGTTGAAAGAAAAAAAGGGGGGAACTTTTTAAAAGATGGAAGTTTTGGTTTCTCGGAGGGTCGCGAGCCGCCGTGTCAGCACCGAGCCCGTGGGCCACGGCAGAATGGGGACATAAACACAGAGCGCAGGGCCTCCCGGCTCGGAAAAACCCCGCCGCCCGTGAATGAATAATGAAAGGAGGTGGAAACAGTACCCTGAGCGCCTCTGCCTCTCCCTGCTGCTGGCGGGCAGCGGCGCCCCGGCTGGCCCCACCGCCAGCGTTTATTACCCACAACCCGGGGTGCTGCTCGGAGCATCGGGGAGGGCATTCCGGAAACCCGGAGCCGGTCTGGGGCCTCGTTCCTTCACCCCGACTCAGGGTTCACCCCCGGGGCCCTGCGCCCTGCGCCCTGGACTCGGTAAACGCCAGGAGTAAGAATGGGGGGGCCTCACCCGGCCGGCGGGGCCCAGGGGGTGAGCATCGGCCCAGGAACCAGGAGGTAACGGTTCAAGTCCCGGTCAGGGCACAGGCCTGGGTTTGGGCTCGATCTCCCACAGGGGGTGTGCAGGAGGCAGCCGATCCATGATTTCCTCTCATCATGGATGTTTCCGTCTCTCTCCCTCTCCCTCCTCTCTGAAATAAAAAATAAATAAATAAAAGAATTATGAGGTCTCAAACCGACCACACCCTTTAGGTAGGCTTGTGAGGTTATATATCCTCAAGTAAAACAATACACGGATTTTCATCCTTACCACTCCTAGCCTGTTTGTTTGAAAAAACAAAACAAAGCAAAACAAAAAAACAACTCACACACACACACACAAACAAACAATAAATAAATAAATGATAAAAACAAAAGGGCCCACCACTTGAGTTCCTAGGGGTCCTCCGTGTTTCCCAATTGCAGCCTCAGCTTGGCTTGCTCCCACCTCTCATGTCATTCCTTACACAGGTGCTGTCCCACCATCCCAAGCAACTTGCACAACCAACAGGTAGAGAACACAGCCCGCATGCCTCCTAACAACAACAACAACACCACGACGGTGGGAGTAACAGTATTGCAGGGTCACAGACTTCCAGGGCGAGAGAGGCTTTGGTGAGTCAGAGAGGGCAACGGCTTGTGTTAGGAAAGAAAGCAGGTGACAGGAGAGGCCCGGAAAGAGGAAATGCCGAGGAGCGGCCATTCCTGCAGCCAGGCCTGCAGCAAGGCCCAGGAGCCAGCGCCCGCCTCGCTGCACAGCCTCCTCCGTGGCTCCTGGGGCCAGGGAGCCGCGGGCCGTGGGCTGGCCACCGGGGCAGCTGTCAGGCGCCCGCCTGCGGGGCAGAGCAGCCCAGACAACAAGCTGATGCTTAGGGGTCAAGCCACTTGTTCTCGGATGTTAACTGGTCACAGAGCATGTCCTGGGATTTGATAATGTCCTGGGGTTTGATTTTACTTCCCTTCACTTTAAAAAAATATGTGTTTTTGTTTTGTTTTGTTTTAATTTCAGAGAGGAATAGAGAGAGAAAAAAATATATATTAATAATGAGAAGAATCATTGATCAGCTGCCTCCTGGGGACTGAGCCTGCAACCTGGGCATGTGCCCGTGACTGGAATCGAACCTGGGACTCTTCAGTCCGCAGGCCAATGCTCTATCCACTGAGCCAAACTGGCCAGGGCCCAAGGACATTTCCCCATTGCTCTCCGGAGGGAGTAGAAGGAAGGGAGAGAGGGAGAAGGAGAGAAGCATGCATGTGAGAGAGAGACCGGGGTGGGGGGGGGGGGCAGAAAACAAACCCGAAACCCAGGCAGATGTCCCTGACCAGGAATCAACCCTGAGATCTGTCGTTGACCTGGCAGATGCTCCAACCAGTGAGCCACCCAGCCAGGGCCCATCTGAATTTTTTTTTTTAAATCACTTGTTAAACAACAGATTCTCATCTTCACCAGAACAAGGGGTTATTATTCTAAAACGACCTAGTAAGTGATGGCAAATTCACACAGCATAATATTGCAGTGCAATAGTTAAGGGTGAGATCCTGAGAACAAGATATGAAAAGCAAGTTACAGAATATGCATGAAGTGATGTCACCTTTATTAATAGGTGGGTGCATGTGAATCCGTGGATGTGTCAATGATATGTATGTGGCCCAGCCGGTTGGTGTTGCTCAATGGTTGAACATTGACCTATGAACCAGGAGACAAGGTTCAGTTCCCAGTCAAGGCACCTGCCTGGGTTTGGGGCTCAGTCTCCAGTAGGGGGCGTGCAGGAGGCAACTGATCCATGATTCTCTCATCATTATGTTCCTCTCTCTCTCTCTCCCTCTCCCTCTTCCTCTTCCTCTCCCTGTACCTCTCTTCCTCTCCCTCCATCTCAGAAATCAAAAATATATTTAAAAAATAAGACTTGTGTGTAGAAAAAATGGGTGTACACGCTGCAGATATAACAATTATGGGTGGTTTGTGTTTTCTTTTTCATGCTTTTCTGGGATCTGTACATACTTTCCGCGGTTTTGTACCAGGTGGTAAAAGCGTTCCTAGACAGCGAATGATGCTCAGACTATAGCATCCTCATGCCCTGTGAGCAGGAGTGTTGACAGCTTCTCAGAGGGTCACGGGGACAGACCTGTACCATTTCCCAGCATTTCCCAGCATCTCACTTCCACGTGTGCACGAGAACAGGCCTCCCAGATTGTCTGTGCAGGAGAGACTAGGACACCTGAGTGTCCACCCATAGGGAAAAGCCAATAAACCAAGGCCCCGTCTAGTCACGGCGATCCCCAGGAGGAGGAACGTGCCCTTAGGGACCGTCTCTAATCACATGATCAGGTGCCCACGCGAGGTGCAGGATGTGTGCCACCACGCGTATGAAACCACTGTGGAGCACACACTACTGTGTGCGTGTGCGCGCGCGCACGTGCGTGTGTTCATATGTGTGTACGTGTACGCGTGTACGTATGTGTGTGCATGTGTGCGTGTGCATGTACATGTGTGCCGGCCGTCTCCGGGAGGCTCTCCTAGGAAAGCATAGCCACGACGCTGCCCCCAAAGGGGAGCAGCAAGGACGACGGGACGAGGACCGGAGGAACAGGCGGAGGGGAGCGGTTCTCGCGGGGAGCTCTCCGCAGGGCTGCTGAATGTTTTACCACGCGCACATGTTACTGCACCACAGCCCAACAAAGCCCTGGCACAGCCCGGCGCCAGGCTCCCCTCCCTCCTGCGGCGCCAGCACCTGCGCCACCTCCTCTGTCCTCCCTGCTGAAGGCCGCCCTCAACCACAGCCGCCTCCCGCAGGCAAGCGGAGCCGGGGCCCTGCATGCCGCTGTCCGCCAGCGCCCTCAGGGGACCGCCCCCCCCCCCCGTACCCCTCTCCTCCCCCCACTCTTTCCCTCCCCCCGTACCCCTCTCCTCCCCCCACTCTTCCCCTCCCCCCCACACTCTTCTCGTGACTCCAGGACCCGGTCTAGGCGGGCTGGGCCCAGCGGAGCCAGAGCCTGTGTCTTCTGACAACAGTGGCCGCTCGCGCCCGTTTGCAGTAAATAAGAAGCCGCTTACCTTTCAGCAAAGGCATCGAGTTTCCCCAGCTCGTCCGAGAGGCCGACCAGGGAGTCCAAGGTCCCCACCTGGGGGGGCAGAGGGCAGTCAGGCCGGGCCGGGAGAGGAGCCTGCCGCCTGGCGTTAGTGTCCTTGGCCAGGGGTCGGCAAACTCCTCAGTCCACAGAGCCACACAGCAACAGCACAACGACTGACATGTCTTCTGAGAGCCACATTTTTTAAACTTAAACTTCTGACGCCACTTCCTCCACACAGACTAGCCCAGGCCGCGGTACTTTGTGGAAGAGACTCATTTAAGGGGCCAAAGAGCCGCCTGTGGCTTGCGAGCAGTGGTTTTCCGACCACGGTCCTTGGTCAGTAGCCAAACTGGAACCTGGGAAGAGTTCTTAAGGGGAATCGGTGGATTTTCAAAAGTGTTTTTCCATTTCTTTTTGCCAGGGGATCCCTGGCCACGTTTCTGCCGCAGGAAGACGTGACTAGGAGGTGGCGGCTGCCCCCTGAGCGCCGTGGCCTGCTGGTCACAGGTTCCCCCGAGCCCGGGGCAGACAGACCAGAAAGCAGGCTGAGGAATGCTCCTTCCACAAGCCCCTTCTCCCAGCACGTCCGCCGCCCTCCCTCTGCTCCCCTCTGCGGGCATCGCAGCGCCCCCTCCCTCCCTCATGGGAGCCTCATGCTGCTCAGATGACCCTCCACAGCCTGCCTCTCCGCGGGGAGGCCCGCCGAGGCCGAAATCCTATCGCAGGTCTGCCTGCAGAATCCGAAGGAAATCTCTGAGGTCCCGTTAGCAGCCGCCCATCAGACGGTAAAAAGGAGCTGGGAGCCCTGGCAGGTGGCTCAGAGGATAGAGCGTTGGCCTGCGGACTGAAGGGCCCCGGGTTCGATTCCGGTCAGGGGCACGTACTTCGGTTGCAGGCTCTTCCCTGGCCCGGGCTCTGGCCAGGCGTGTGCAGGAGGCAACCCATTGATGTGTTTCTCTCTGTCTTTCCCTCTCCCTCGCACTCTTCCCAAAATCAGTGGGAAAATATCCTCAGTGAAGATTTTTAAAAAACCCACAAAAACTGAAAAAACTGTGATGCCTGGATATCTCTGATACAAGAAGCAGCTTCTTTTTCTTTTTTTAAAAAAATATATTTTATTGATTTTTACAGAGAGGAAGAGAGAGGGATAGAGTCAGAAACATCGATGAGAGAGAAACATCGATCAGCAGCCTCTTGCACGCCTCCTACTGGGGATGTGCCCACAACCCGGGTCATGCCCTTGACCCTGTGAACTGGTACCCTTCAGTTCACAGGCCGACGCTCTATCCACTGAGCCAGGCCAGTTAGGGGGAGAAGTGGCTTCTTTTCAAGAAACTTTATTTTAAGTAACTTCGGGCGGGTCCTGTATGTCTTCTTCCCTATTCCCTGCAGCCTTGCCCAGAGGGAACACTGAGGGGGCGGAAAGGCCTCCTTGGCACAGCAGCCGTCACTGGCCGGATAGTGGCAGGTTCGGAAAGCCAGCGCGATATGGGCTCAGACCCTGGGGCTGCCTCCCACCCGCCCCAGCCCCCCTTCCTCGGGCCCGTCTAGGGTGGGACTTGCAAAGATTTGAGGCAATATGTTTGAAGTGCCTGACCCCCATATGCCGCTTGATAAACCCTAGCAAAGGTAAAAGCACAGCCCAGCCCACATGGCACCGTGATTGAGCGTCGACCTAGGAACCAGGAGGTCAGGGTTCGATTCCCGGTCAGGGCACAGGCCCGGGTTGTGGGCTCCATCCCCAGTAGGGGGCGTGCAGGAGGCAGCGGGTCCATGATTCTCTCTCATCATGGATGTTTCTATCTCTCCCTCCCCCTTCCTCTCTGAAAAATTTTTTTTTTAAAAGTATGGCAGCTGAGGGTGCAGCCCCCGGGGGAAGGGCGCCCGGCGGCTGGGACGGGTGTGCGTGGCAGAGTTCAGGCAGCGCATCCCTCCAGTGCTCGCAACACGGCTCCCCCCCTCCCCCCGAAGCCCACCATCTCGGCGAGCGGCACTCAGCGCCCCCTCTCTGTAAAGTGAGAACTGTCCCGGTGCTTGTCTGTCCCGTGTGTTTCAATCTCACGCTGTGCTCCAGAGCAAGAGCCCTCAGACCAATGGTCGGCAAACTCCTCAATCCACAGATCCCAATGTCAGCAGGATGACATTTCTTTGGAGAGCCACATTTTTTAAACTTCAACTTCTAACGCCACTTCTTCCACATAGACTCGCCCAGGCGGTGGTATTTTGTGGGAAAGCCACACTCCAGGGGCCAAAGAGCCGCCTGTGGCTCAGGAGCCATGGTTTGCCGACCACGGCCTTAGACCAAGCATGTCAAACTCAAAGGCTAACACGGGCCAAACCTACGTGGCCCGCGGCCCGCAGGCCGGGAGTCTGACGGGCTGCCCTGAGCCACGCCTGCTGGCAGATCCCTGTCTGTCATCTGCCCGGGGACCACCCACTCCCCTGCCTGCCTCTCCAGCAGAGCTTGGAGGACCCGGGTTTCCCGCCCTGCCACGGCGGACACACTCCACGCCTGAACATGGCAGCTACGCTATCCGTCTTCCCAGATGCTGAGGAGGAAGCAGGAAGACTCCGAAGGCGATTCCCAAGAAGCCGAGTGTGTCAGATGCTCCTCCCTCGGCGTGAAGACACTGCTCCCACACCCTTCCCTGTTCCTCCCGTCCTGTCGCTCCGGTCCCCGGTACCACGACCCATTGAGGTTGACGGTGTGAGGTCCAGGCGGGCCCCGGGCTCCCCGTCCACCCTCACCCTGGGCTGACCCTCAGGGTGGCCCCGCTGCCCTGACTGTCCCCTCGGCTTCCAGCAGACACCCCTGCACCCCGCCCAGCCCCTCCCGCCCCCTCCCGGGCGGTACCTTGAAGTCAGGGATGGCGAACTTGGTGTTATAAGACAGGTTGGACTTGGAGGTGACCGTGTTCATCCTCTCCAGCGCTTGTAGGTTTTCCTTGTCGCCGGGGGCAGAGATCAACCAAAACTCGGACATGCTTCCGGTCTTCTCCGATCCGGTGACTGACCTGAGCCGGAGCCACGGCCACAGAAACACAGAAACTCAGCGGCCTCTCCGTCCCGCCGCTCCCGTCCCCGGGAAGCTGGCCTCTCCCTGCTCCCCACCCTCGGTGCCTTGGACCTTCAGCTCGGATCCCGCAGTGCCGCGGACACCCATCGGTGCAAGCCGATCTGCAACGTTCTCATCTCCGCCTGAAGCGCCCTCGGCCCCCCCAGGCCTCCCCGAGGGCTCCATCCGGAGGGGGTTCTGCCTGCTTTTCAGGGACACCCTGCTTCCTCTCCTCCGCTCCCCCAGTCCGGGGACAGGCCCCACCCGCATGGCAAACGGGGGACAGTACACGGGGCCGGGGAGAGGGGGGCCTTCAGGAAGACATCTCCTCCCGGCCACGGTGCATCTTCAGGGTGCAGGACGGGGTGGAGGCGGAGGTGAGGCAAGGCCAGCCGGCAAACCCGGGTCTTCGCTTACCAAACCTGAGCCGGCACTGGCTGTACACACAGGCGCAGGCCCCGGCGGCTCCTGGGTCAGGGCAGCGCCCGGTACACTCAGGTTGCAGGCTGGTGCCTCCTCAGGGCAGATGCCCCTCCAGGGCACATGCAGAGTCCTCTGCGTCCCTCTCCCTTCCTCTCTCTCTCACATCAACCAACACATGGTTTTTAAGAGCTTTGAGTAGACTTCAGAGGGAAGTCTTTTAGTGAAATAAGAAAAAAAGGGGCTTCGAAAACTAGGTCTCCCTGCCCTGCCCTGCGGAGCAGGGAGCCTGCTGGCCTGCAGCGGCTGACTGTGGCCAGTGGCCTCCGACGCCCATTAGCGCTGCCCGTTCAAACGTGCCCGCGCCCACACCGGCCTCCCGCGCTCCGGTCTCCCTCCCCGCGCCCCGGGGCGCTTCTGGGGGGCTGGGAGCGGTCCGGAGTGTAGCTGAGACGCCTCGGGCGCCTTTTCTCTCCAGCACGCACCTCCCTGCACTCAGGGCAAGCTCAGTCCCTCCTGCCCCGCGCGCCCCTGCCCCGCGCGCACCTGCCCCGCTCCCCGCGCAGCGCTCTCCGGCGGCGGCCCGGGGACAAGCGGGCCCTGCGCGCCGCCCCAGAGGACACCTGCCCGGCGCCGGCTGGGTTCCCGGTCCCCACGGAGGAAGCTGTGCCCAGGGCGCCCCGTGGGGATGCAGGGACGCGGGCGGCGGGCGCCTCTCCTCGCGTCTGGGACCCCCCATGGCGCGCGTCCTTACCGGGAGCGGGAGCCGGGAGCCGCGGGAGGGCGGCAGGCAGGGGGCCAGGCGGACGGACGCGCCGGGCAGACGGGCCGGGGCGCTCGCCGGCTCCCGGAGGCAGCGGCTGTGCGCCCCGCCCCGCCCCGCGCTTATATCCCCGCGGAGGCCCCGCCCGCCTGGCGTCTTGAGGCCGGTCCCCGCCTCCCCGGGCCGGGCTGGGGGCCGCGGCCGCCCGGGGACAGCGGAGAGGGGACGCGAGCCCTCCCCGCGGGGCAGGACCTGGCGGGGCGCGGGGAGGTCGGACGGGGTCCCGGGACCCGCAAAGCTCCCGGAGCTGACCGGACGGGAGATGGCCGGGCGGAGCGGCAGAGGCGGGGCTCCCGGACGGGGACACCTGCCCGCGCTGCGGCCGCACCCCCGGCCCCCGGGACAGGGCTCCAAGGTCCCGGGAAGATCGCTGCCGAGAGGCTGGCCTTGGGGGGCGAGCGCCGGCGCCGGGGTTGGCACACACTGGGCAGAGCGCGGACCCCCGGGGGCGGGCACGGTCCCTGTTGCCAGGAAACTCCCTCCCCTCCCCGCCCAGGCGACCCCTGCCCGGCGCCCCCCGGGGGTCCCCCCCGGGCGGGGAGGGGCTGGCTGCCCGGCCCCGGGGGCGCAGGACGCGCCGGCTCAACAGCCCGCCACCGCCGCGCGCAAAACCAGAAAACAGGGCGACTCCTCCTCCCCCTCCTCCCCGGGGAGCGGAGGGAGTCCGCGCTACCGGGAAGGACTTCCCCCGTTTGTGTGTTTTTACTCTCAGGGTGGCCCGTTGGGAGAAGGTCCGGCTGCCGCCTTCCCAATGGGCGCCCCCTCCCCAACCAGGACGTCCCCGCAGGACTGGGTGCGGCCGGACCCGGGAGAGAGGGAGGCGCTTTGGGCACAGCCTGCGCCCAGATCCTGGTGTGGGTTTGGGATCCTCCTGTGGGTTTGGGATCGGCTGTGGAGCCCGGCACCTGCGCCCGCGCCGCCCTAACTGGGCCACGCGCATTAGTCAGGCCTTGCGACACCTCCCGCGGGAGGGACTGAAACCGGGATGGGGAAACCCGGTGCGCGGCTGGGCGGCGAGGCCAGGGGAGGGGTGTCCCCTGGACACGGACCATGGGGCTGCCGGTTTGCAATTACCCACAATGTCATTCACCAGCCGGGGAGGACTGCCCGGAGCCAGAGGGGACCCCACGACCCCAGGTCCCCACGCGCGGAGGGGTGCGCGTGGTCCGCCGGCCTCCACGGCCCGCCCCAGGCTCAGCCGTGGGTGGAAGGCGGGCCTCGGACCCAGCCGGTCTGCCGGATGTCCCCACAAGCCTGCACGCTGGGCCAGGACCTGACAGGGAGCCAGGGTCCCGTGGCCTCCCTGTTCTCCTGCCTCCGCGCTCCGGACCACGGCCCAGCCTCTCGGAGCCCCGGTGACACGCTTGGAAGGCCGCAGCTTGCTTGGGGCACCATTCTCCCTACAAATACGGTTTCTTCCTGACCAGCCGGTTTCATGAAATAAGCGTCGGAATCAACCTGAGGCCTGGAGATTAAGAGAACAATGAGGCCCTCCTGATGCCTCTCTTCGCAAATCCGCTGGTCTTAAACATCTCTATCTTCTTAAATTTCTGTTTGCGTCATAGTTGGTGACACCACTGCGGTAAGGGCGACTTGGCATTCCTCAAATGACTTGGGTTTCTTTCTGCTTTAAAGGGTAATCCTGTGCTTCTCAGAGAGATTTGGGGGAACACCGAGAAGTAGGAAGAGGGAGGTAACCTATCACCTGTGCCTCCATTATCTGAAAATAACCACCACTGACATTCAAATTATCCGCATTACTTTGTAAAAGACTCTTTATTGTGCCCAAACCGGCGTGGCTCAGTGGATAGAGCGTCTGCCTGAGGACTGGAAGGTCCCAGGTTCGATTCCCATCAAGGGCATGTACCTTGGTTGCGGGCACATTCCCAATAGGGGGTGTGCAAGAGGCAGCTAATCGATGATTCTCTCTCATCGATATTTCTAACTCTCTATCCCTCTCTTCCTCTCTGTAAAAAAATAATAAAATATATTTTAAAAAAATAAAAGATTCTTTATTGTTTGAAGTACTACATGAGTCTTCTCTTCCCCCATTGACCACTCCCTAGCCCTCTCACCACCACCCCCAACACGTGCCCTCACCCCTCTATGCCCATGTCCACGGGTTAGGCTCACATGCACGCATACAAGTCCTTGGTTGATCTCTTACCCACACTCCCCGCCTTCCCTCTGAGGTTTGACGGTCTGTTTGATGCTTCTCGGTCTCTGGATCTATTTTTGTTCATCGGTTTATGTTGTTCATTACGTTCCACAAATAAGTGAGGTCATGCGATAGTTATCTTTCTCTGACTGGCTTATTTCTATCCTCACTACTTGTTAATGCATATTCATGGAAGCAGATACAAACGCGCTGGCACGAACGAGATTACAGAAGCATTATACGTAAAGCCTGGCATCCTGCTGTCAGCGGCTTTTTTTAATTGATCAAATCTCTGGTATCAATCAGTGAATTTAACCTGGAGTCACCAGCAGTTCAGCAGAGCTGGGGACCTGAGTCAGAGACATTTGATTACAAAGGCAAATCAGGAGATCTTGTTAGACAGCTTCGATGGAAGGAGAGAGAGGGAGAGCTAAAAGCCATGCTACCTTGCCCAAGGGCGTTTTGATTTGCAATTTTCCAAGGCAACCAGGCAGATGCCGGTCACTGTGTGCTGTTCCCTCCAGTTTCCCTACAAAGTGAGGTCAGTCCTTAACGCAGAGGAACTGGCCACAGGCTGCGGGGCCTGGTCCCTGGGTCTGTGAGGAGACTATCAGCTGTGTTCCCAGCATCGAAGGAGAGCCACTCCCTCCGGCGTATCAGCCGAAGCAGCACTTAACAACCCATTTTCAACCCCCCTTACCCCCCCACCCATTCCCCCACTTCCAAAACCTCTAGACTAGAGCCTGCAGCTACAGGAGGAAGCCGGAATGAGCCCTGGTGCCTTAGAAGGGCTGTCACTGATGCCCAAACCCCGGGTGAGAGAAAGTGCTGCCCTCACAGCCTGAGAGACCCGTCAGGAGAAGGCTCTCCTCTGAGACAGAAAGGCAGCAGGAAGTGCCCCGGCCTGGCTCACGTCTGCTTGCAATGAACCAGGCTCTGGCCAGAGAGGCCAGATATGGCTCTGCCGTTGGCAGTGGTTGCGCTCCGAGCCGGCTGGCATGTGAGCAGGACCGAGCAGTCCCGTCAGGTTTGGGAACCAGAAGGACGAGGCTGGCCCAGCTGGTGGGCTCTTCCGCGGACTCTCCCCGTGGCTCCTTGCTTCACGGACACGGCCTGGCCCGGGGGATGCTCTGCCCTCAGCGGCTCCGGTGAGTTCCAGGCTCTGCCGGGAAGAGCCTGGGGAGGGGGCTCTGGAGGGACAGCTCCCCAGAGGAGGCGCCTGTAAGTGGGATTGTCCCTTGCGAGGCCTTCGGGTGTGGCAGGAACAGATTAGCCTTTGACAGGAGGCCATGGTGATCTGCTTTACCTTGCCCATCCCCCCCAAGAGGGCCCGCCTTCCGCCTGTTCTGAGGCTGGTAGGGAATGGCATGGGAGGCCCTGGCTGGTGTGGCTCAGTGGGTAGAGCATTGGCCTGCGGACTGAAGGGTCTCAGGTTCGATCACGGTCAAGGGCACATGCCCAGGTTGTGGGCTCCATCCCCCATAGGGGGCGTGCAGGAGGCAGCCGATCCATGATTCTCTTTCATCATTGATGCTTCTATCTTTCTATTCCTCTCCCTTCCTCTCTGAAGTTAATAAAAATATATTTATTCAGAATAAAAAGAAAGGGAGAAAACTAGAATGAACCTTGAGTTGCTGGAATGGAACTAGAGGTATTAGTAATGAACTAGATTTAAGGTGGATGGATGGATGGATGGATGGATAAATGACAGATAGATGCTAGATAGATAATTTCCTCGCTCTGTTGATGGAGGGAGCCCGGAAGCAATGCGTTAGCAGCAGCTCGGAGACTCCTCAGCAGCCCACACCTTGATTTCGTGTCCGTCTTCCCCCGGAAGGGGGCGCATCACCCCAGGAGGGCTGCAGTACCGGGTCGGTGTGTGGAGTGAGCAAGCTCCCACTCCAGCCCCTAATTTCAGAAACCCACTCACCATGCTGTCCTTGGGGAAAGGACGTACCAGACACCACACTGCTAAGAGCCGATGTTATGCTTGATCTCCGCCAGAGGCCCGGAGGCGATGGCACGGTACCTTCCAGGCTTCATTGTCCACGCACTGGACCCAGGCTCCGGAGACCGGGTGGTGCCAGGGCTGGACGAGGGGCCGGTAAGGGAACAGGGTGTCTTCACCTTACCCTGAGTCGGTTCAAAATAACAACATGTCTTTGTAACTGTGTCACCTCACCGTGTACCTGCTTGTCTCTGTCTGTGAACACTCTTACAACGTTTCCGTAATTTTGGAATTACCCCTCACAAAGGAAAACCTCCTTTGCCGGCTGGCAGAATGCCCAGTGGGTGGTACAGCTGGATGGGTGAGTTGTCTAGTATGGGAATCAAGTCTCCATGTAGCTGCTTCACAAAAAGGAAGCAGCCACAGGTACCACGTGGGCCACTATGAGCTAACCTAAAACAAAGTCAGCTCAGGCATGACCTGTCCTTTCATTTTTTAATTTTTATTATTTTTTTTATTGATTTCATAGAGGAAGGGAGATGGAGAGAGAGAGAGAAACATCACCGATGAGAGCCATTGATCGGCTGCCTCCTGTACACCCCTGCCCGGGAATCGAACCTGGGACCTCTTGGTCCATGGGATGATGTTCAATCCAATGAGCCACCGCAGCCGGGCAAGCATGAGCGGCCTTGGAAAACCTCCCCCGATCCTCGTTCGAATGCCCACGCCACCTGGCGTCTCCCATCCCCCCACCAGCTTTCGGTGCACGGGGCTGTGGTCCTGGGTCACCCCTCTGTCCCCGCCATGGGCGGGGCATCGCTTAGCGGGCAGGGGCCACGCCTCGCCCTCCGGGGAGCCACCGCCCACCACAGAGCCGGGCAGGTGCCAGTCCGTGTTTGTTTAAGAAGGGAATTCCCAACCTGATAAATGTTATGGTATTGACTGCATGGAGCGACCAGACAGTTAATTATTTGATAAACACGCATTGTTCGGTGCCATGAATAATACATCCTGGGCGCAGGCACAGCTGATAAGCGCGGCTGAAACTCAGTTCTGAGAGCCACTGTGCCAGCTGACGTCAGAGGTCACGCGCGTCAGGTTCTCCGAATGCTTGAGCTCTGTGTTGATCTCAGCACCATGCAGCCAGCATTTGGGGGAGCCCCTGTGTGGATGGCTGGGGGCTGGGCCAGCTCTGCTGAGAGACCAGGGGCTCTGGGTCATCAGGCTGTGGGCCCAGCGGGATCAGCCAGCGGGACGGAGTCTGCAGGCAGGGGCAGGCGAGCACAGGTGACAGTGCTGGGGATGTGGCCTGTCCTGTCCTCCTCCTCCTCCTCCTCCCCTCCTCCAGGTGCCTGCTGCCAGCTCAGGGGACAGCCCACACCCTTCGCCCAGCTGGGCGGGAGGACAGCGTAGGTGTCCCGCCCAGCCTTTCCTTCCGGGGGTGTGAAGGCTCCTTTCAGAGCCGCCAGACACTGCCCCTGCCCCTCCCCATACACCGGGCGTGGCAGGAGGACAGCTGTCAGGTGGACTCCGATGGGATGGGCCCAGGGCATCCTTCTACACAGCACTGGTTTTCCATGGAAACCGAGTGCCAGGTGCATGGGGAATTTGCGTAAGAAAGCCTCCAGGAGCAGGGATCTCCCCACCCAGAGCCGCCAGGAGCGGTGTGCATGTCCTGCCAGCTGCGTGATGGGCTGGCCGGGAGCAGGAGCAGCCGGTACGCAGCACCACGCAAAGCCAGGGGCATCTCCGAGTGCCCTCGGGGCCGGGGCATGACCCAGAGCGGGAGCTCCTGAGTGTGGAGAGGCACTTCCAGGTCACCCTGCTCCCCACCCGCCGCTCACTCTGTTCTTCCTCTGTGTCCCTGTCCTGATCCCAAGCCACCGGGCTCCCTGGAGCCGTCTCCCAGGCCGAGCCCTGCCTCCCCCGAGGACCCCGCGGAAACAGCTGGAAAAGCCGGCCCCAAGGCCCCGGACACCCAGCTACCCCACTGCCCGCTGCCCGCTGCCCCTCCTGGGCAGGACGAGAAGGCAGAGGCGTGTCCTTGGTGGCAGGGCCTGGAAGATGACAAGACCCATCAGGAAAGGCCGTGTCTGCCGGGCTCCCCTCCAGTCAGGCAAGCCGACAATCAGCACTTCATGAATGAGTGAATGAACGAATGAGTGAAAGGCCTCATCCGGTCACAACCCTTCCGCAGTGCAGCCGGGCGTCTGACCTGGGGATCCTCCTCTCCCGCCCCAGAGCGAGTTCCTGACAACAGCCGCCCACCTCTGAGCACCTGCATCTCTCCTCGGGGGCCGCCTCTGCCCGTCCTGCCAGCTGCCCACTCCTGCGGCCACACCCTCACTGTCATCACCTGAAACTGCCCCACCTGGGAAGGCGTCAGTACCATCAGCCCACTCTCCCCACAGCGCTGGCCTTCCCACTCACGCCCACTCCCACTGCGTGCGCACACGCACAGGCGAGCACACACACACACACACACACACACAAGCACACCATGCACACAAGCACACGCATGCACACAGGCATGCACGTGCGTGCGCGCACACACACACACACACAGGCACACACAGGCACACACAGGCACACCATGCACACACATGCACACAAGCACACGCATGCACACAGGCATGCACGTGCGTGCGCGCACACACACACACACACACACACACACACACTTGCACACACGCCTCTGCTCTCTGTTGTTGCCTCCTCCTGATCTGGCCTCTTTTCCTGCCAGACCGGACCGTCTGACTTCCCGCTCAGCACCTTTGGTTCCCTGGTGCCTACTCTTTCCACACACACACACACACACACACACGCCCTGTTTCAGCAGAACCCTCACCTAGATCAGCTGTGTCTTCACCTCCGTCCCGGCGCGGAGCCGTCCCAGCGGGCCCCGCACGCCTCCTTCTCCGGGCCCGTCTGCCGTGCTCACTGGCCCGTTCCCATGTTTCTTCCCGGGCACCGGGCGGGCTGCTCACCGTGCCGGAGTGAGTGTCACAGACAGGCCGGCCCACTCTGGGTCCTTCCTGCGGCCCCGCAGCCCTGCTCCGCGGGGGTCCCTCCCTGGGCCTGAGCCCTCGTTCTGCAGATGCTCTGCCTCCCATGGAAAGAGGAGTGACACCACCTGTCCCTTCTAGTTCACCGGCCGTGAGTCATCGCCCACGCCCATCCCCGCTGCGCCTTTCTCTTCTCGCCTCAGAGGACGGCCAGGATGAAAGTTCAGAAAGACCAGAGGCCCGAGGCGCGCAGGGAGTGGGGACAGGAAGTGGGAACGGTGCGTGGCGGCGGGAAACAGCGGGCTTAGTCGGGGGAGGCGTGCGCAGGTGGGACTTCCCCTCAGTGTGCAGAGATCTGCTTCACTCATTAAAAAAAATATATATTTTTTATTGATCTCAGAGAGGATGGGCGAGGGGCAGAGAGAGAGAAACATCAGTGATGAGAGAGAGTCATTGATCAGCTGCCTCCTGCACGACCTCGACTGAGAATCGAGCCCACACCCCGGGCCTGTGCCCTGACTGGGGATCTGCAGAACTTCCTGTTTTAAGTCCACGCTCCGCCACGGAGCCAGCCACACCGGTCGGGCTGCTGCACGCACTTCCCTGTGCACCGTGTTCCTGCCAGGGACCACGGTGCTTTCGGATGGGTGCTGATGGGAACATGCTCGTCTGAACGCATGGCACATCGCTGTTGACTCTGAACCTAGAAATGAAATGGCTGGGCCTTCCGGTTCTGTCCGTCCAGCCCCTGTGGATGGTTTAAAATGGTTTTCCCAAGAGACCGCGCTCCTTCACACACCCGCCAGCCTGCGTAGAGATGCCTGCCCCTCCTCGTGAATCCTGGGTGTTGTTGGGACGTCAGCCACTCATTTGGGTGTGTGTGTGTGTGTGTGTGTGTGTGTGTGAGATAACAGTACGCGGTGGTTTTATTTTGCGTTTCCCTGAGGACTAATTACACGGAGTGCACTCCCACGTGTTTATTGGTCACTGACACTCGAACACATTTTTATTGGATTGTCTTATTCATGACCGAGTGGCAAGAGTTTTCTATTTCCTGGCTTGCCAGTCCTTTGCCAGACATGTGTGAATATTGGCCCCCAGGCTGTATTTTGTTTCCTTGTTTTCTTAACTGCTTTTTTTGATGATCAGAAGTTTCTAATTTTGATGAAGACTACTAATTGTTGCACTTCCTGCTGGTCCCTGTCCTTCCTCTTCCCGAGAGCCTCGCCAGCCCTCCTCAGCTTGCCCCTCGCGGCCTCCACACGAGGCTGGCCACCTAATGCCCAGCCCTCATTCAAAGATTAGTAAGCCTGGCCGGTGTGGCTCAGTGGTTGAGTGTCAACCTATGAACCAGGAGGTCACAATTCGATTCCCGGTCAGGGCACAGGCCTGGGAGGGGACTCAATCCCCAGTGTGGGGCGTGCAGGAGGCAGCCCATCTATGATTCCCTCTCCTTCTCCCTTCCTCTCTGACATTAATAGAAATATATTTAAACAACAACTTCCAGATGGCGATAGCAGGATGTTAACCCAAATGTGAGTCCTTTCTGACGCGGGGCCGGGGGGCTGCGTGTCCACTGTGTGTCCTCTGCGTGTCCCTCCCTCGCTGCTGTCTCTGTGTCTGCGGAGCGGGCAGCCCTGGAGCCTGGAGGGCCCAGCCAGTCATCCGTGAAGCGAGGTGCTTTCCTCCAGGGTCAGGCTTTGTTTTCTGTTTTCACCCGATCGCCTAACTGCCCTTGGGGAGGTAGAACATTCGCTGGCATTATAGCCAGCCGAGCGCCTCGGTTCTGAAAACAGTCAACAAACGGCCTGGGCGGGCCCGCTGAGGGCTGTGGCTGCCATGTCGCCAGCAGCTCTGTCCCGAAGAACAGCGGTCCCCTCGCCCCTGTGTGTGGGCTGAGCAGCCTGAGCTCGCTCCCCCTCCACGGCCGCTCTTGTGCCCGGCACTCCGCCCATCAGCACGCCAGCCATCTCCTCCCCAACGCCCTGGGCGTGCCCGCGCCCTGTCCTGCGTGTCACGGACACGGGTGCGAGGGTGGGGCGAGGGAGGACACGGTCCTCGGCTGG